TGCAATCCACCCCCCCCCCCCCTCAGACCACACCCTGAAGAGCACAGCTTTGATTTAGACTTCCTACTACAAACACACGTGCACGTGTCCAGGGTGATATCCCAACAGACTTGAACTCAGGGTGACGCACGTCTGAAAAATAATTTTCCTCTGGATGCGGTCAGACCACGAGTATTTTACAGCTATATAAAATACATTCTCACGCGGTCATTGTTATTACCCGGGGGTTTAATAACCTCGAGACACATTGGAAAACTCCTGTAAACTAAGCAAATGAAGGATTTTGACCGGAAATCATAGCTTATGAAAAAAATCCTAGCTTTCAGTAGGAAAAGTTCAGGGACAGATGCTATTATTATTTTCAATGTTTTATCTATGCGAATTTGACTTTGATAAATAAGAATAAAAACACAACACTCATTCCAGCTGTCATTAATCTGTTGTTGCAACTCTTAATAAGTTGATAATGTTGAAGAATAGGGGTGGTTTAAGAAAAGTACGTAGAAATTTAATGATGTCATCTTTAATCTATTTAAGGAAGCTGGGAGTCTCCCTTATGCAAGTTTGTTCCGCGTGAACTCTGTCCCGCAAAAGAAATATTAAGTGTAATACTCGTGACCTTACTTTAAGGCAAAGCATGCTTCTGTGCCCCAAAACCATTTTTATGGACTTTCATGTGCCACCTACATACAAACATATGCTACTGGAATTAATTAATGTCATGGCATGTTCTCAAAGGTCAAATTATAATGCAATTCCGAAAATCCTTATTTTAATCTAAGCATATCCCCTAGTAACCCCTTTCCCCTCTCCCTGCCCAAAACTAAAAAAAAGACAAAAATAGATAAATTAAGATAAATAAGTATCATATGCGTAAAAAGACAGAAAAGAAAATGGAAGACGTCCAAAATCAGTGCAAAATGCTCAAAGGGGAATTTTTGAGATAAATGGACAAATGGCATTGATAAATGTTCGTTTATTCACTTAAGAATCAAAAAAGGTAACACAGCCAAACGACCCTAATATCTTAATATCAGATACTTTTATTATATTCCTGCTAATCATAGTACAGCAAAGTGGTTATACATGCAGTAGTAAGTTTAAACGTAAAATCATTTTATTTATAGCTAATTTCGCAAGATTGATTGAAAAAACGAGACTTTCTTGGCCACTAAAACTACCAATCTACTCTAAATGCAAAAACGAAAAGTTTTTTTCCTCGTAAAAATATGTTCTTGGTATATAAAGCGACATAAAACGAACAAATAGCGTCCGATTTGATTTTGAAACTGATTTTGAAACTGACCAAAATATCGCAAAAGCACATTAGACAAACTTTTCTCCCTCTTAATGTGGACATTTGTGAGTTTGGCACTAAGAAATGGGCTTTAAGTACATCACCAGCAGCTAAAACAATCACACAAAAACAAGGGCTATTCCAGTTATTTAGGTTAATAAATTCATCTCTCTGTTTATTTATCTCTTCCGTCCTTTTTGTACTTTAGCTTTATTTCTGGACCTCCCTAATATTATAATCCGTGGTTGTTATCTCAGGTACTTACACAGGCCCGTAGCCGGGGGGGGGGTCGGGGGGTTCGAATGAACCGCCCCTTTTGCTGGGGAAAAGGTCCCCTCTGGGTAAAATTTGATCTAGGTACTTTTAAGTTTTTATGGGAAAAGGTCCACTTTTTCAGAAAAAGAACCCCCCCTTTTGAAATTACTGGCTACGGGCCTGTTACATATATGAATGACTATATGGATTATCAAAATAACATGAGTAGGAAACGGCTGTTTTACGAGCGTGGATTGAAAAAATATGAACAACAAAAAGAAATGAAAATTTCAAAAACTTTCAGTCTGTCATAGAGTACTCAAGAAAAAAATTATCAAACTGAAGTGAATCACCCCAAGAGCTATTCTCTTGGTGCCTGACACTGATACTAGTAAGAAACGCACTTGACAACCCATGTCATTCTGATAAGATATTGATACTGAATTGGGTTGTACCCATTCTGGTGAGTCATGGACACGGGCGGCACAAAATATTCTTTACAGAAGATAATGAAAGTACATAATTGTATAATGAAAGAAAGTAGAACTAAGAACGAAGGAGTGGAATTATAAAAAGTGTAGTAAATGTTGATGACCGGGTGAATTTTTTACCATCTCTCTGTGTCACAAAGATCCAATGACTTGCCACTTGAGATTTATTAAGTACAGAATGAGTTTTTAATTTTGTGTAGTCCTGACCGGCTAAGTACAACTTGATCTGAAGGTATTCCTGATCCACGAAGGCCGCTGCTGGCTCCGCAAGTCCACGTTCATCTCCCCTAGTTAATCGGAAAGTATGGCATTTATTGAATTATTTAATCCTGTTAAATACTCGCATAGAACTTGGCGAACCGCATTTTCACTGTCATGTTTTGAGGCTCGCTGACATTTTGACACCACATTAATGCGCACATTACTATTGCTAAATAACGTTTGTAACGTAAAATACGGCTTAATAGAGCTTCGAGAGGACAGATGATAAGATTATCGTGTGTCGGGATTACTGTGTTTATATTATTTGTGCAACACTTAATGGAGACTTCACGGGAGAGCAGCATGATAAGGACGGAAAGAAGAATGGAAGAAAGAATGAAACGAACGAACAGAAAGAAAGATGGTGTATTTCACCACAACTGTGAGCGATTTACAAGCAGGCGGGCAGCGGGGGGACAGAGAGACAAGCAGGCGGACAGACAGACATACCAATTAGTACATGTTAATATTTTAAAAATAAGCATGCGAGCAGACAAAGGGACAAATACACAGCCAGAAGTGACATTAATGTACAGAATTACAGAAGTTCATAGATAGACAGGCGGGTTATCAGGCAGCTTCATGAGCAGAGAGAGAGAGAGAGAGAGAGAGAGAGAGGGAGAGAGAGAATGAATGTTGAAATAAATACTACAAATACCGATAATGTACAAACTGAAGAGGAGCTGAAAGCATGAAATTTCGAGATGGAGAGGGAGAGAGAGAATGAATATTTGGTGAAATAGAGAAAAAAAAACGGATTTTTTCTTGGAATAAAATTTAGAGTTAACACAGCCCGAAAAGTCGTCTGTGCCCACAATCCAGTCAGTTGAAATGACGGATGAGGTGACGGCGTACAAATGATAAGCGGGATTTCCATTCATCTCGACCGAAGGTCACCAAGGTCGTGACCTCGCGTGACACGAGGATGACAGAAAAGCGGCGCATTTAGCGACAAACTTAAACGACATCTACATTTCAAGAAATTTTTGTCGTTATCTAATAATACTTTCATACTTGATTCCATTGTGACACAAAATATTAATCCAACACAGCAGAATATTTCATTTCGACCAAATAAATCATAAACCTTGTCAATAAAGCATTTATCTAAATGAGCCTTGTGCAAAGAAGCATACTTTTTTACAGGTTTTGGGGGTTAGCTCCTAAATTTGCAGTTTTACTTTGTATCTAAAGCAAGAAACGTTTTTAGCACTGTTCGCGTCTTTGTCGTATAATTATGTTAAATATGAATCGACAAATTGGAGTGTAAATGAGTCACTGACCCCAGAGATATGGGGGCGAATGCAAGCGACATCTGATATCTTTAATGGTGATTGTGCATACATTTTTTATCATCAGAAGCTAGCCGGCTTCCTATTTAAGTAGCAACAGGCGTGGGAGACCGCACTTGTAGCATTATCTACGCTTGAATATATCGAGATGCTTGGTGACATGGGTTGACGCGTTTTCTTTTTTCTTTTTCGTAGGCCTACTTTTAAAACTTTTATCTCCGTATGATATCCGAAAATTCTTACTACATGTACAAACTCCCCCTCTCTCTATGTCGCTCTCTTTCTCTCATTCCACACCAGAAACACATATAAACGATTTAAAGGATTCTGACACAATTTGCAGGAGTAAACAGAATAACACCCAAAAACAACATTTGGATCACTTGGGCAAACAGAGGAAAAATGCTCTGACCCTGAACTGAGGGCGGCATTTTTTCGATTATGCTGGGTTTTTTCTGAAGAAACAGACCTACACAAAGTGACAGCTTATAATCAGGCCACGGAGGCACCTCCCCTGAATTAACTATAAGTAAGCTGACCTCTTGGTTGTTGACGTTACTACAGAAAACACACGCACAGATAGTTTTATGGGTGTTTTAAATCACGATATGGTGATATACGGCGATAACGTTTTTTACTAATATAATATAATATAATATAATATAATATAATATAATATAATATAATATAATATAATATAATATAATAATATTGCTCTGATACAGAAAATTGTCTTTTTGCAATGAAGACGTTTAACGTACAGGCTTGATACAAAACATGCGCAATATTCCGCGTTACTAACAACGAAGAACGAGCACAAATACTGCACATACGACAAATTTTGTTGACAGTGAATGAAACCAAATGTTTAAGCCGTGCCTAAAGGTTAACTTAAAAACCATGTCTCGGAACGTCTGGCGCTTCAATGTGTGATTGCAACTGTGCTGTGTTCGCAAAATGTGAAAATCTGTCGGTCCGATAACTGCATGGACTTCGACTTTTAAGCCTTTTGTGAATATTTTTTGGATGTTGGGTTGGGGAAAGGGTAGAAACGAAATAGTCTATTTTTGTTGCATTACGTGATACGTGATATTATACGCATCCAGATTAAAGTTAAAGCAGTCTGTTGTACCAGCAACTACAATAAAGCCATTTCAACTAATTTTCACTGTCCACATTTGTTCTTCGAGATAAGTATATTGATTCTGTTGTTTACTGACTGTTAGTGTTTTGTTCGTGTAAAAGGTAGGCCTAACCACACCCAAAGCAGAGAAAAACAGTAAACTACTCCACATCGTTCTTTTTTTTCTCCTTGCTCTGAAGTTCATTTAGTCTTATTAACGGGATGATGGGGTATCATACATATGATAAATGCCGAGTTATGTAATAGAGACACTTGCGCTCGGTCGCAATTCGCGATGCTTTCGAGTTACGGAGCCCTGGTCTGACAGAGAAAGATACTGTTAGCATGCCAGCTTACAGCGCCTCATACGGCAGCTGGGCTGTGTACATGTACGAGATCGTCCCAATATGTAGTGACCAGGCGTCTAACTGTTTTTTTATACTGCATTAATATAATATAATTCACATAATTGCACCTTAAGTTTCAAATAAACAATATCTAGGGCACAGAAATGAAAGCTCGTTTGATTTTGACTAATTTTTTACAAAATTATTATTATTTATTTATCCGGGTTTTTTTTTTATACATCTGATCTCACCTAGATAAATGGATACATAACAGCTGATCTCACTCGGTGTATTCCTTTTCTGTTGTAGAGAACCTCAGAGTCTGCTATATGCAAATCTGAATGCGTTGTACAACTTATGCTAGGCTTCTCTGCCGCATTTTACTCCCCAATAATGTCTATTCAAGTTTCAACACCGATTCAACTCCCAGAAAGCATTTCACGATGAGCCACTACTGTTACTTCCCTGAGTTTCACAGATTACTGGAAACTTTTTTTTCTGGCTCCAGCATGTCTCTGCTTGTTTCTTTTAATAGAAATGATTTTACTGAAACATCTAAATGCCAGGGTGTGTGTTACCTGTGTGAAAACAAGGAGTTATAACTCCTTGGTGAAAATAACCTTGGGTAAATGTGTCTTAGTTCGGACCAACTGCACGTGCGTGTTCAGTGTGTGATTTTAGCTGTCATTCTTTAACTTATTGACACCACAAATGGACGAACCAAAAAAATACATGCTATTACCGAATGGATCTTGTCTTGGTTTGGGATAAATTATAATTCGGTGAGAAGGCCCTGGGGACTTCTTAATGGACGAGTTTGGGATTTGTGCCAAGGAACTGGAAGGTGGGAATGTATTTAATTTATTAAAGTAATGTCAGATAACTAAAATTGCATTAGCGGTCAGAAAAACAACAAATGATGCGTTTATGATAATGACACTTTATTTGACCTGAAATCAACTTTCACACACTAAAGGCAGCGCCTTATACAATACCGACAGAGGTCGCCTTCTGTCAAACAAGACACCATTTTAAATTTACCTCTTTCTCTCCCTCTGAATTTTGACAGAATCTTTCTTTGGGTAGTAATATTGGAGGACGGAAATAGCTTGATATCGTCATGAGAAAAAGAAAAAAACAAGGTACTCGCCAGTATATATATGGAGAAATGGATTGCTATCAAGATAGGAGTTGAGTTATAAAAGCTTGTCTGAACACGCATAAGGCCCCAGTTTAAAAAAAAAACAAACAAAAAAACTCAAGTCATTTCCCTGGCTTAGCTGACTAGGATTTCCGAGAGAGTGCTGTTACAATGCTCCTGATAGGGTAAGATGTGCCCATGTGACCATGTAACCTTGGTAATTTTAATTTAACTTAAAAGTTCTTAGCCAGGGAACCTGACTTAATTTTTTTTGTGAAACCGGGGCCAGGTCACAAAACTGATAAAACTGATAACTAGCGCGACCGACCTGTATTTTGAGAAAACCAGATTTTTTTCGTACCTATATTTTTTTTCTAAATGGAGAAAAGTACATTGAGTATTACTTTGGGAAGTGGGTTAAATGTACAAACAAACCAAGGAAAAACTTAAATACAGTTGTATTTAATCTTTAAAATCACCAGCACTGTGGATTTGACATTACCACCCCTTAAATTAAAATGAAAAACACCGATCGACCTTGAAATTTAACTGCTCAGCAGTCCGTTCAACTTCATATATTAAAAAAAAACATAAATAGTTGTCATTTGCCCACTTCGTCTAGAGAGTCGCTGCTCGTGAATCAATTTTATCTGGCCTTGCAATCTAAAACACAAGCACTGATATAAATAGCGTATAAAAAATTGGGACGGACATTTTTTAAAATAAAAAAAATATATATATTATAGCAGTTATCACAAGTATGGCGTATGCAAACAGGGACAAAAAGATTTAACATCTAAGTCCACTAAATTACATAAATACATTATAGCAGGCATAGATATACATGTATGGCGTTAGCAAAATAGGATGAACATTTCATAACTCTTTGTGGTCGTTTCATACTTGATTCAAAATCATGCATAAAAGCTATAAACACTGTTATTGATATATGAAGTGAGCAAAATAGGACGGACATTTCATAGCTCATTCAATTTTTGATTCAATTATTTGATTCAGTATCATGCGTAATAGATTTAGAATACTGTGAAAAATTATTTAATTTCAATACTCCTTTTGATAAAAGCAAAAGTAGAATAACCAAAATTGTCTTCAAAAGTTTCAATCTATGACATAGTTTTTAAAAACAGTACGCAGGTATTTAATCAAAACAAAAGAGTTTTCCTTATTATTGCAATATCAATTGTTTTAAGTGCCAGTCTCTGAAAGGTTCAGAATAGGGTGGCACATGACCCTCTCAGATTTTGCTGAAAATTATTGTACATTACAGCCGCAAACCAACATAATGGTTTGTTTGCATCACGCTCGGTTGCCATGGTAACAGCACTTTAAATTTCTGGGCATCTACAGCCAAGGCCGCTTTGGTCGATTTCACAAATGGTTTGCACTACTTCCCAATCACAAGGGATGTCGCTCCACTGTCCGCTGTCTGCTGGTTTGAAGCCAACGCAAAGCTCCGAGGCGAGGTTTGGTTCATGGAGTGCCCAGTTGGTGTAACTTAATGTCGCGTTCCCTTTACTGGAGTGGACGTAATTCTGGTTGTCGCCATCGTAGTTATAAGCGTCGTGCCAAACGAATTGATGGACCCTACCACCTAAAATGAAAATGGTATTTATTAACATGATGTATCATTATCGCTTTACTTATCTATTCAATATTTTAAATACGACCTTTTCAAATAGGCATAAATGGTCATTGTATCATACAAAACTATTTGTTGTGCGTTTTGCCCCCATAACTTAAGTATCTATATAGAAACAGAATTACAGGCGATGATGTCAATAAATTTTTAGGTGCATTATCCAATACGGGTCCCTGCATTAACTGAACCGTGTTTAAGCAGATCCGCGGATATGTTTGTCCGCTGTTTTAGGCTTCGTTCACATGCAATGTCTATTTTCTAAATTCTATTTTCTATTCGCGCTATCTTATGATCACGGTCTGTGTACTGAATATCCCGCCGCGTAGCGCGAGCCAGTTACTATAAGTTACTATAAGTTACTATAAGTAACTGGCTCGCGCTGCCAGTAATTACGCGGCGGGATATTCAGTACACAGACCGTGATCATAAGATAGCGCGAATAGAAAATAGAATTTAGAAAATAGACATTGCATGTGAACGAAGCCTTAAATGCGCTCAAAGACGAAGTTTATAATAGTGCAACCCTGTATAGAGTACCAGTGCAATTAGCACAATGCTGTGTTAATTGCCGAAAAAAAAAAGAATGTGTCACGTTAAGTATCAGACTTACCGGATGACTGCACCAGCTGCTGTAAGAATACAGTTTCTTCAGCGCTATTGATGGAAACTATATCAGATAGTGGTGATTCCGAACGGCAATGTGCTCGAGCAGCGTCGAAAATTATCTGTGTAGCATTGAGTTTATAGCAAGAGCAACCCCATCTAGTATACTCACTTGGGCATGTACAATCTGAAAAAAAAAACATCGGTGTTTTCAGTGTCTGCATATTAAACTTAAAAGAAGACAGATCGTTTTTAGACACTTTTAAGTCAAATTGCACACTTTGAAAATTCCAGATCTTTGAACGTATATTTAAATGAACAACGGGAAACAAGATGGCAGAAAGAAAGAAATGGTCGCAATGAAAGTACTCTTTCGCAAAAATTTTAATAAAAAAACGTGGATATATGACATATATCAGACAACAAAACAGGGCCATAAGAGTAAGGTCTATGACGTAATATGTAATTCAATCAAACAAAAAAATTAAAAGTCTTTCTTAAAACGATTTTGCGATAACGGCTCTGGTCAGGCTGACATTTCTCGTGAAGCAAACAGGATAAAGAAAAAAGAACCAAAATCAATTTCAGCAAAAAGGAAATGCGCCAACGAATGGCATAATCTAACTTATGCAAACATCAAAGTCAGATCCACGTTTTTTCTGTGGATTCAGCATTAAAAACATTTACCAAAGAACCACTGCAATCAACATCAAATTCATCACCCCTTTTATCCTGAAAATGAGCCGAGACTCATATTTCCAAAACTGTTTGTCAAAGCTGTCCAAAGATCAATGTGACTAATCAATGATCTCTCCATCTAAAACCAAGGTGCAATCAAACAAAAAAGGCCCTTCAAACGTGTGGGATTTGGTGTTGGAATTGTGATCTGTCACTGACAACAAGCATCGATAAGTATGGGCTGAGAAAAATGCTTGGTGGTGGTGGGGGGGATATGAACATCTACAATAAACGGATTAATTGTATCATCTGCAATACATTCATCTAGACACTGACCCGTTCTATGTAAATAAAGACCACTCTCCGTTGTTTGAAGTAATCAGGGCAATTCCCATTAACTCCCCTTTTTCAATGGCCACTTCTCAAATGTTGCAGGATTTACCTTCCTGCATAAGTGTTGTATGTTTGGTCGGGATCTCGCAGAAAGGAATTAATGAACTTTCATTTAAGGTTTATTGGATTTTTTTATTTGTCAAACTGGTATTATTCGAAGAGGCTCCTGTGAAAATGTCAAAGATGGGCTATGTTCAATACAATCTCTTAAGCGTTACTTGTTGTATTAGTGTCACAGTTTTTTTTCTTCAATTGCAAATAGCATCGACTATTAATGACAACGCGGTATGAAGATGTTACGAGTTACATTAAAACTGGCATTAAGGGTAACGGTGGTTCTATTGGAAACGGGCCTATATGAGAGAGAGAGAGAGAGAGAGAGAGAGAGAGAGAGAGAGAGAGATGAAAAGAAAAACAATCTAGAAGTGAATTCATACATCGTCCTTTGCTACAGGTCACTCTACTGGATTGAAACCCCGACTCCGACTAGAAAAAAAACAAAACAAAACAAAACAAAACAAAACGATAAATATGTCACAGACGAGAAAAGTAAAATTGGCAACCAGCGGCAGCATGCGTTTTGTTTACCATTCTATTAATAATCTGAAACTGGCAGTTCGACAACAAGATGTTATATATCGTTGAGACGTTGTTCGTATTTACTTTTTCTAAAGTCAATTTTAAAAACAAACAAAACAATACTCAAAAGCAATACTCAATAAAAAGGAAACATTAAGATATTTATGACCAAAATGGAAATTGCTTTCCAAACATAACGTCTATTATCAAATAAAAATATTTTTTTAAAGTTATCTAAAACTTAAGACGTCAGATATATTTTGAAATATAATTAATTCAAACACTTACCTTTTCTACATATGAAAACCCGTCGGTGGCAGTCAAGAACTTCCCATATTCATCTGATGTTGAATTCACTAACTCGCACAAATGGACGCCGTTGTCAGGCTCCCTTTGCCAGTTAAAGCCAAAACAGGTAGGTTCTTGCGCACATGCCAATGCACAGAATGACTGTGCTCTCACGGACGAACGCTTCATAACTTGTGAATGGGAATAGTCGTCGCCACACCTGTCTGGAATGGAAAAATGAAACGCGGCACTGCTCACCGTCACCAATGCCACCAAAACTGGCAACATTGTTTCTACGCCCATGTTGATGATGGTCTAACTATGAACTCAGGCTGTACCAAATTGATCAATGTTTTTATCTTGACTAAACAGTAATGCTGGGATATGTACAGACGCCAAGGAAACGTCTCATAATGTTTGCTGCCCTGTTCTTTCGTGACAAATTTGGTATTGTTATGTAGGCTATTATTTGTTTTATCTTATACATTATTAATCTTTATTATTATTATTATTATTATTATTATTATTATTATTAATGACACATCTGGTATATCGTGGGTACTGCAATGTTTATTGAGTAATTTCATCGACGCGACTGAAATTCTTACAATGTGGAAAAATTACCAGTGTCTTGTTCTGTCGCGTAAACAATTGCAATAAGCATTATTGAAATAGCATAAAATTAGACCCATTCTTGAAAAATTGACCATTCGCTTGCCCCATGGACGGCTTGAGTGACAACCCTGGGTATCCGTTATGAGAGAGAGAGAGAGAGAGAGAGAGAGAGAGAGAGTTTTAAAATTATGCAACACGCAATAAAAAAAAACCTCATATAGCAGAAAATAAAATTTGAGAAATTTTCGTTTGAACATCCCTGTCCAAAAGTAAATTACGAATTTAACTCTTTATAGATCTAAACCCCCTCCTCCCCCGAATAACAGTAAGCGTTGGCAAATCTCTTCAAAACGCCCTTTGTTGGACAGACAAAGATTTAAAGCAAAGCATTGTTTATGCAGTGTATACTGGCAAAGATGCCAAGAGCACATACGGACACTACAAATGCGCGGAGGTGAGTGGGGTCGTTATAACTATCGATTCTCATGCACAAATGCTTTATAATTCCGTCCTTGTGAAAACAAAAAAGAGATAGCTATATATAATGGCTGTTTATTTACTTTATAGACCGCCAAAGAAAATGAAAGGCACATTTGTCAGGAAAGCACCCATGTATTACCAAAGACAGATAAAAGTGACCTTATTAAGGGTGCACACCGAAGTTTGAAAATCACTGGAAATTCGTCCGTCCATCGTCAACATGTCCCTGCCGTTACCATTCAGATGCCCTGGCGGATATGATTTTCATCTATGACGTTATTGCCAAGGGTCTAAAACTCATCACCACTTTTCATTGACTTTCTAATCTCAAAACAGTGTCAACAAATGTGTTTTAAGATCGATTTTACTCCATTAGGAGCTTCGGTACTTGATATTTTGCTTCCAATATTTGTGACACTTGATATTATTTCAGTGCTTTCAAACCCGAGGATGACAAAAGAAAGAAAAAGAGAATGAAATGTACAACCATCCGCTTTTACAATCACGGAAATGTACTCTGAATGAATTATACTGCTTGGTAAAACGTGACAAGTTCTGAAAATTAAATCAAAACAAAAGATTATCCCATTAATTACATAGGCAGATACAGATTATTAGAGCACCTTCCAAACCAAACCAAAGGATTATTCAGTAGTGACACTTTTATGAAAAGTGTAATAGGGGCCTAAATGCTGATCAAGGGCAATGTAATATGCTCCAAATTGCTCTGTATCTTCAAAAACACTTCTCAGAGCTATGGGTGGGGAGAAGGAGGATAACACTCCCTTTTATACGTAATTTTAAGCAGATTTATTTTGCCAAAAGGTGTATAAGAAAAATGCGATAACATACTATATAGTTTGGTTAAACGAGTTGTCAGTTTATGCTGTGAGTTGTCAATACCATTGTTAGTTGTTGGCAAATAATAGTATTTGTCAGTGCACACAGTGAATCATAAGTGCCAACTGACAGTTTTCAGCGTTAACTTTACTCATTGAGTTTGCCGCACTAGCCGAGTTGTCTGCAAACAATGCAAGTTGTTGGTGGTCACTGTGAGTTGTCAGCGGAAGTTGTCTGAAAACAATGCAAGTTGTTGGTTAATATTGGGAAGAAATTCTTAAATCGGGCAATTATGGGACACGGATGGACCTTTCGACAATATCAGAAGTGTTTTCTAGTCAGAGATTGTCAAGGTACGTGGAGAGGGGTGGGAGCTCTTTCGTCCTGAACAACATCTTTAAAGTTTTAAATAGAGCTATTCAGTTTAAATAACCATTCAGTTTATACGCCAATGTGCACAAACCGCGATTTATCTTTGCCATACCGAACGTCCATTTTCTCTCTCTCACACACACTTTTGAGACAAGTAAATGTAACACTTCATGTACATACAAATATTTACTGGATTTATATTTTTTATATACGTCCAATACAGGTATAAATACACATGTAAAATGTATAAAGCATGACAAGTATGTCACCAAGTCGGCAGATACGACGGCAAGACATCTTAAACTCTAATACATCATTTCTTAAAGGCTAATTTTGACTTGCGTAAATTTTGAGCATTTCGAAATATTTCCTCTAACGCAAACTTCCACCCTTTTTTAAACGCCTTCAAAGGCCTACATCCAATAGCATTTTCCATATTTCTCTCGCACCACTTCGCCGTTTTAGTTTAACTTAAACAGTTTCCGAGTACAGAATGAGGAACATTTAATAGTAACAAATAAAATTCTACTCACTTTGATATATAACTATGCCCCCTATACTTTAAAGATGTTCCTTTCTTATATTCGTTTTACTTCCTTTAAAAATACCAATGTTGAGAAGTTGAATTCTGCATATTGGCTGACAACGCATATTTCTTGCACAACAGATAGTGTGCATACATACCCTGATACCGAATTGGCGATGTACTGGGATTTCCATTCCAAAATTGGTATTTATTATAGTAGGGAACAATAAATTTCATAAAAATCTGAGGATGAACGGATTTTTCCTGTACTTCTCACGTCTGCGTGTCGAGAATTAACAACGCTTTGGCCGTATTGGCTCAACTTCTGGCAGTAAGTGGCAGTTTTACTTATCCTTGTTTACACTGCTTCAGCCTGTGTGCAAACGACTACCTCTTACAAATAAAAACATGTAGTGTTTTCATAAAAGAAACTTATATGACTGACAACAAAACATTGAAGATCAGTGAGTAAAATAAACTGTATAAAGCCCACCAGAGACTAAAAAGAGCCTAGTTAGACATTTCTGGTGCTTCTGAGTACATAATATACCGTAAAGTTCAGGATATGAACGCAACAAAAAGCAGTGAGCGACTATTCGACAGGGTGCATCTGTTCACAGAATTATTCGAAAAGTTACAAAAAATAGAGTGCAGAGGCTACAAAATGTGTGAACAACGAGAAATCCATTGCAAGCCCCCCAGACATTTTTTTCGCCGTCACAGGTAACTTTGTGAACGTTGTCACGGGTCCCAACATTTAAGTGATAGACTCTGGACACGTTTCCAACCTTACGTAGGATGTAAATCAGTCACTGCAGTGTCACTCTCTATATTTTATCTCCTCATGGTCGCGATCCTCCAGAACTTGCAAATTTTTCATACAAGGCCTGGCGTTGGCGCGCCATCTGAACGACGTTCTCCTGCAGCTGTCGCTGCCTCTGAAGCTGCTGGTATTGTTGGTACGCCTGCTGCTGCTGCTTTTCCAGCTGGAAATAAACAAGTAAATAAATGACATTGTATCACCAAGGGTGCCTGGACACCCAAGAAAACTGGAGAGCTGTGATCGCAATACTTCAACAGGTTTCACCCACGTTCTAAATGAAAAATCCTACAGGTATTGCGCAGTAATGCCCAAAGATCGTTTAAGGGGAATTTATTTTCATGGTTTCCCCCCATTTATCTAAAAGGCTGTGAAACCTGCGGGACAAACGTTTCTGGGACTTCCTTGCATTTCCTAACCTTTCAAAACCTGCACTTCTGACAAAAACACTAGATCAAATCCTTGAATCATTTTATTCAACTTTTTAAATATCCAAACAAAGCAAGCAGTCAACTTACGGTCTCCTTCTGCATTTGCTGTGTAACTTGTTGGTACCTAAGCAGGCCTTGTATCTTGATCTGCAGCTCTGCCGCTGTGATCCGAGGGTTCTGAAAGTCAACAGATTTACCACAAGACTAAAATGTGAACTTGTATTACATGTAGGCCTATAGATGTATCTCTGAGAGCTCAATAAATTGTCAATAATTATTAATTTCATAAAATACAAGTACCTGTCCTAAGAGAGGAAAAAACTTTTGCGAAGAGATCCTACTTAAAATGTGCTTATAATTCAGGCAGTACAATGCCCCAGATTGCATCACACGACTTACACTCTCTATGATGGGTTTCACCATGACAGCTAGACTTGGCATCTGGATACACAGGCTCTGATACAAGGCCAATACTGCAGGACTGTACTGGATGGGACCCACACTACCAGAAGCACCTGGGCCTAGGGGGGAATGATAAGTAATAGTAGTTATTATAGTAATACATAAATAAATGGAATAAAAAAAATCACAACAGCAGAGATCTCCATACACTGCTCATAAACTAGTTATAATAATATAGTTAAAATAATAATACATAAATAAATGGGATAAATAAATCATGAAATGAGAGAACTTTTTACAGCATTGGACAATTTAAAAAGCTTTTTGCCAGTTTAAATTTTTTAGAAACATCAGCCCCTAAGATGGCTTGTTGCCATTAAGTTTTCAAATGTGTATGTTTTCCTAATTTCCTTTTCACCTCTTTCTTACATTTTTTTATTCCAGGGTCAAGCAAATATGATTTCTACTATATGGAAATGCCAAGTTTTGCCATACAAACCCATCATTTTAACTTACCATAAAACGAAGACATCTCTCTCCGTATTCCTTTCTTCTCATTTTCGTACTCTTCCCAGGCTGCTTTGCGCTCCTCCTCTGTAAGTGTCTGATCTATCTTGTTTTCAAGGAGAGAGTCATGCTCCAGAATCTGGACGATCCAATCTTTGTGACTTGTCAGTAACTCAGCCAGGACTCGATCCTACAAATACAAATTGTTAAATTTTAAATTGTCAGAAAGTCTTTTTAAATTATCATTATTGTTTTTTCCATCACAAAATTTTGCATTTGGTACACACTTGCATGTTTACATGTTTGTTTCCGAGGTAAAAATGCAGTTCATTGCACTATAAAAAGTTTGATCGGGCTTATTATGAATAACGGCTAGGCTTATTAAATACTTGGTATGATAAAAATATAACTGATCAATGCAAAACCATTCGGTGAATCACTAATTCCAACACTTAAAAAAAAAAAAAATAGAATTTGCATTTCTTATATCCATATTTAAAATTGTTTTAAAACTCATTATCATCTTTTTTGTTTTGATTTGTTTTAACTTGCCACACACCTTAGGTAAAGCTGGAGTGGGTCTCTCAACCCTGTCAGGGTCATCCAGAAGATCAGGCTTAAAATTGTACAACTCCTGAAGATCCTGTGCTGTGAAATGGCGGTCAATCTGATGCTCGTCCACAACACGCTGGGACAATGACAGTTTTGTCACTTGACGCTCGTAGATCTTTTCTTCCATTGTGCCCTGTCAGATGCAAGAGCAAAACTGATTTTAACATATATCAAAATTTGTGGATAAATGATGACAAAATGACATATTTTTTAAATTGTAGCATTGAAACTTACAAAACTAAAATCACTGGATGTAAACTATACACAAATTTACAAAATTGACATGAAGGGGGTCATCCATTTTATCATCATTTTCAGAAGTCTACAAACCATACTCTGGGGGGGTGGGGGTGGGGGGTGTCTACACCAGTAGACTAGGTGCTATTCTTTCAAGGTCTGTCTAAACTAGATTGGTGAGAACAAAATAACAGGATGTTACCTGAGCTAAGAATCTGTACACATAACATGGCTTGGTCTGGCCAAACCTGTACACTCTGAATATAGACTGGACGTCATGAGAGGGGTTCCAAGAGGCATCAAAAAGGATCACTCGGTTAGCACCAATTAAATTTATCCCCAAAGAACCAGCTCTGGTGGATATGAGGAATAAGCGAGCTCTGGAATATAAAAACAGCATTTAAGGAGAAAATAATAAAATTAGANCAGTGTTTTCATAAAAGAAACTTATATGGCCGACAACAAAACATTGAAGATCAGTGAGTAAAATAAACTGTATAAAGCCCACCAGAGACTAAAAAAGAGCCTAGTTAGACATTTCTGGTGCTTCTGAGTACATAATATACTGTAAAGTTCAGGATATGAACGCAACAAAAAAGCAGTGAGCGACTATTCGACAGGGTGCATCTGTTCACAGAATTATTCGAAAAGTTACAAAAATAGAGTGCAGAGGCTACAAAATGTGTGAACAACGAGAAATCCATTGCAAGCCCCCCAGACATTTTTTTCGCCGTCACAGGTAACTTTGTGAACGTTGTCACGGGTCTCAAAATTTAAGTGATAGACTCTGGACACGTTTCCAACCTTACGTAGGATGTAAATCAGTCACTGCAGTGTCACTCTCTATATTTTTTCTCCTCATGGTCGCGATCCTCCAGAACTTGCAAATTTTTCATACAAGGCCTGGCGTTGTCGCGCCATCTGAACGACGTTCTCCTGCAGCTGTCGCTGTCTCTGAAGCTGCTGGTATTGTTGGTACGCCTGCTGCTGCTGCTTTTCCAGCTGGAAATAAACAAGTAAATAAATGACATTTTATCACCAACGGTGCCTGGACACCCAAGAAAACTGGACAGCTGTGATCGCAATACTTCAACAGGTTTCACCCACGTTCTAAATGAAAAATCCTACAGATATTGCGCAGTTATGCCCAAAGATCATGTAAGGGGAATTTATTTTCATGGTTTTCCCCCATTTATCTAAAAGGCTGTGAAACCTGCGGGACACACGTTTCTGAGACTTCCTTGCATTTCCTAACACTTTCAAAACCTGCACTTTTGACAAACACACTAGATCAAATCCTTCAATCATTTTATTCAACTTTTTTAATATCCAAACAAAGCAAGCAGTCAACTTACGGTCTCCTTCTGCATTTGCTGTGTAACTTGTTGGTACCTAAGCAGACCTTGTATCTTGATCTGCAGCTCTGCCGCTGTGATCCGAGGGTTCTGAAAGTCAACAGATTTACCACAAGACTAAAATGTGAACTTGTATTACATGTAAGCCTATAGATGTATCTCTGAGAGCTCAATAAATTGTCAATAATTATTAATTTCATAAAATATAAGTACCTGTCCTAAGAGAGGAAAAAACTTTTGCGAAGAGATCCTACTTAAAATGTGCTTATAATTCAGGCAGTACAATGCCCCAGATTGCATCACACGACTTACACTCTCTATGATGGGTTTCACCATGACAGCTAGACTTGGCATCTGGATACACAGGCTCTGATACAAGGCCAATACTGCAGGACTGTACTGGATGGGACCCACACTACCAGAAGCACCTGGGCCTAGGGGGGAATGATAAGTAATAGTACTTATTATAGTAATACATAAATAAATGGAATAAATAAATCACGACAGCAGAGATCTCCATACACTGCTCATAAACTAGTTATAATAATATAGTTAAAATAATAATACATAAATAAATGGGATAAATAAATCATGAAATGAGAGAACTTGTTACAGCATTGGACAATTTAAAAAGCTTTTTGCCAGTTTAAATTTTTTAGAAACATCAGCCCCTAAGATGGCTTGTTGCCATTAAGTTTTCAAATGTGTATGTTTTCCCAATTTCCTTTTCACCTCTTTCTCACATTTTTTTTATTCCAGGGTCAAGCAAATATGATTTCTACTATATGGAAATGCCAAGTTTTGCCATACAAACCCATCATTTTAACTTACCATAAAATGAAGACATCTCTCTCCGTATTCCTTTCTTCTCATTTTCGTACTCTTCCCAGGCTGCTTTGCGCTCCTCCTCTGTAAGTGTCTGATCTATCTTGTTTTCAAGGAGAGAGTCATGCTCCAGAATCTGAACGATCCAATCTTTGTGACTTGTCAGTAACTCAGCCAGGACTCGATCCTACAAATATAAATTGTTAAATTTTAAATTGTCAGAAAGTCTTTTTAAATTATCATTATTGCTTTTTCCATCGCAAAATTTTGCATTTGGTAGACACGTGCATGTTTACATGTTTGTTTCCGAGGTAAAAATGCAGTTCATTGCACTATAAAAAGTTTGATCTGGCTTATTATGAATAATGGCTAGGCTTATTAAATACTTGGTATGATAAAAATATAACTGATCAATGCAAAACCATTCGGTGAATCACTAATTCCAACACTTAAAAAAAATAGAATTTGCATTTCTTATATCCATATTTGAAATTGTTTTAAAAGTCATTATCATCTTTTTTGTTTTGTTTTGTTTTTACATGCCACACACCTTAGGTAAAGCTGGAGTGGGTCTCTCAACCCTGTCAGGGTCATCCAGAAGATCAGGCTTAAAATTGTACAACTCCTGGAGATCCTGTGCTGTGAAATGGCGGTCAATCTGATGCTCGTCCACAACTCGCTGGGACAACGAGAGTTTTGTCACTTGACGCTCGTAGATCTTTTCTTCCATTGTGCCCTGTTAGATGCAAGAACAAAACCGATTTTAACATATATCAAAATTTGTGGATAAATGATGACAAAATGACATATTTCTTAAATTGTAGCATTTAAACTAACAAAACTAAAATCACTGGATGTAAACTATACACAAGTTTACAAAATTGACATGAAGGGGGTCATCCATTTTATCATCATTTTCAGAAGTCTACAAACCTGGGGGGGGTCTACACCAGTATACTAGGTGCTATTCTTTCAAGGTCTGTCTAAACTAGATTGGTGACAACAAAGAAACAGCATGTTACCTGAGCTAAAAACCTGTACACATAACACGGCTTGGTCTGGCCAAACCTGTACACTCTGAATATAGACTGGACATCATGAGAGGGGTTCCAAGAGGCATCAAAAAGGATCACTCGGTTAGCACCAATTAAATTTATCCCCAAAGAACCAGCTCTGGTGGATATGAGGAATAAGCGAGCTCTGGAATATAAAAACAGCATTTAAGGAGAAAATAATAAAATTATATAAATTATGATAATGATAATTATTGACGAAGTACAATGACTCCCACTCATTTTATAATTAGACTTTAATAGTCAAGCGGCCAGCCAGGCATATAAAGAAAAGTCAGCAATGAAAAGCAAATATACCCTAGAATCGTTCACAAGTCATGAAATAGAGGAAAATAAACCAGTTTAAGACAACAAATATTTCACAAACAGGAACTTTAAAATTAACATCGTAGTTAAATCTGTAATCAAACTGCAGAGAAAGAGACAGAGAGTGAGGGAGGGGGGGGCACCTGAAGTTGTCTGGATCATTGAACTCCTCTGCCCAGTTCTGTCGTGTCTGTGCTGGTGTGGAGCCATCCATTCTGTAGTAGTCTGCACCCTGGACCCATGTGCGCTGGAACTATAGCAATAAAATTCCTTGCTTAAAATAACTGCCTCTTTTCCTAACTTAAGATATGACACTGAAAATGATGTCAAATACTACCAGTCCTCCATATATTTCTCCGATCTTTGTACATATTCAGATCAATCAAGGTACTTTTATCAAGAACACAATATCAATCAAGGTACTTTTATCAAGAACACAATATCAACTGTACTGCAGCTGAAAAGAAACTTTTTTAAAACAAACTCATTTACTGAATTTGTACATTTATCATTATATGAATAATTAACAAAAAAATATTACCCCATCTTCCGCCTTCTCATCCCCCTCCTTTGTTTTTTCCATTTCCTCTCGTGCTTTCTTGTCCAAATCTTCCAAAAAATCCTGTATCAAGTCCAAGGACAGAAGAGACTGGCTGAATACCAGCCTGGAATATAAGGATCATTGATTAAAATACCATTCTTGCCCTAGCAAGGAGAATGACATTCAGACCAAGTGTATAAAAAAGAATATTAGACAATAGCTAAGAAAGAAAAAAATACATACATAGTCTCAGTGCTGTGAGGAATTACAAAAAAAAAAAAAAATAAAAATAAAAAAATAAATAAAATAAATAAATAAATTAAAAAATATTAAAAAAAAAAACAATAATAATAAAATTAATTAAATAATAATAATAATAATAATAATAATAATAATAATAATAATAAAACACATCAATATTCACTACATCAATTGCCCATTGCTAATGGGGTTCACAAAGCAATTGCCAAACTTTTTTGCTGTCCCTAATAGGTTAGGCTTTACAAAGTCCACTATGCCATGATCTGCAATTAAACTGGCCTAGCAAGTTTGAACCCTCCAAAATTTGGTCAGTATAAAATTATAAAAGACTATTTTTAATCTTCTCATCTTACAGCACACATGGCATAAATTTAGAATTATGAGTAAATATCAAACACGTCTTACACTTTATCACCAATCTCCTCGGCCATTCTAAGAACTTCAAACAGCAACAAGAGCTTGCCACTGTTCTCTATTTTCTTTTCATCTTCCTCAGTCACAAACTCATGCCACCATTCAGACTTCATTAGAGCCTGAACTTCAGGCACAACCTCTTCGGGCTCTAAAAACAGAACCAGTGGGGGTTTAGAAGACGCAGTTTTGCTTCTTTTTCTTTTTACTTTACTTTCCTCTCTTATTTGTTTCTTTACAACTGAATTCAAAATTACAGGTCATACATTCCATACAATTTTGTCTTTTGTATTGTTATAAAAATGTTAACCATAAACTTCAATCTATCTTGATAAAAAAAAGTCAAATTCTTAGCCTTTATATTTTTGGATATAAATACCTAAAAAAACCCTACCTGAGCCATCCCCTCCTCTCTTCCTTGTCTTCCATTCTTTCACTACCTCATCATCACTTTGTGATTCACAGCTTTTTTTACCTTTGCCTTTCTTCCTGATAAAAAAAAAGAATCATTTCAGAAGCCAAACCATTTAATAATAAGCCTACAGTTTAAGCAGAGCAGATATGCTTTTAACTAACACAGGAAAAGCTTTCCATAATTAAATGTTGGATTAAGATATTCAAACTGTCTCCATCTGACTCAGAATTAAAATCAAAAGCCTATGCCCCGTGTTCTCATTAATGTCATGGTCTGTTCCAAAGATAACTTTGATTAATATTCCTTGGAGCAATCAGGGTCTAAAAGTGGATTTGTGTCACGTGGCAGTTTTAACTTTTTTAATTAACCCAGTACTTCTTAAAGTGGCCTGATCAACTGTTATGGGTTAGTGCCCAACAGGAAAGAGTGCCATCATTTTCTTACTTGTTCTTTCCTTTACTGGGGCCTGGTTCCTGGTCACTGTCAGAGAGATCTATTATACTGTCAGAGCTGCCATCATCTATGAAGGAACTCATATCACTTTCATCATCAATGAATGAGTCGTTATCTTCAAGAAATGCCTGTTAGATGAAAGAATTATAAAATATGAAAAATATCTAATATATGTTATTCATGTTGGAAACAAACAAAAACACGAACCAATTTTGCCAGTATATTGCCTGTCTAATAGGTACCTTTAGGAAACCTTATTTATTTATTTATTTTTGTTGCTGATCAGATATCTTTTTTTTTAATATTTGAAATCTCTGGTCACATTCTTTCCCTTTTGACAACAAAAATTTCAATAAAAATCGACATTTAACTTTTTAAAAGAACCATCTTTACATTTTTACTTTTTCTTCCTTATATATCAAAAACTGTGTCAAATTTGCAAAATGATAATAAAACATAAAAGAAAGACAAGAACTTGCCTTATTTTCCCGTCTAATCTGATCATATCTCATTACTCTAGGGTGTGTCCATATTCTCATAAGAGCTTGATAATCAGAGAAAATCTTAGCTCCCCTTCCAACTACTGCCATTCCGTCATCGTCCACCCCTTGAACACACTGCAAGTACTTTCTATATAAAAGAACTTGAAGTTTGGACAGGCGCACCAACAGAACATACTCAAACTTAGGGGGAAGAAACTTGGTCAGGGCTGAGTAGTCTTTCCTCTGGAAATTATCAATTATAAAATGCATGTGTGAAATACAAAGTATTAATTTAGTTGAATCACTGAATTCAATTTTTCTGAAATAAAACATGAATGGAAAATATTGTTTAAGTATCATATTTTTATAACCAGCATGCTTTTATATGTCAGGCATATTTATTCTTTACCATATATATTTCCAGTGCAACACTTCTGTCTTTCAGGACTATAGTATTCTATGCATATCTAACAATAGCTACTCAGCAGCATTAACAAGTAAAGGTTATCAAAAGGGGGAAAAAAATCCATTTTCCCCAATCTATTAAAAGATAATTAATGAAAAAACTTATGTCCAAGAAATGCCTTCATGAGACAGTAAAGACAAAACAGCCAGGTAAAACACACCTGCACACAACCTGACAGCAAATCATGAAGAATATGAGCTCTTCTCTTCATGATCTTTACATCGTGTGGTGTGGAGTCTTTACACTGCCCATTGCTGATGGGGTTCACAAACCGATTGCCGAACTCTTTGGCTGTTCCTAATAAGTTAGGCTTTACAAAGTCCACCATGCAATGATCTGAAATAAAAGTTTTACTCTATGATTCTATCAGTCTCAGTATCAAATTATATTTATAATAAAATAACAGAGATATACTGTTTCATGTATATATATAAAGTAAAGTAAAAGTTAAACTTAGGGATACACCACTGATAATCCTTATTCTTGTGATGCTCATATAATAAATGAAATAGTCTGTTAAGAATCTTTTTCCATCAAGTTTATCATGCCTTGATCTGCAACTAAATTACTATAAAATCATGATACTTCCTTTACATTTATCACACTATTAAGAATTGCCAGATATAATGCAGCAGTTGTTTTCAATTTTCTTCAGCAATATATTTTCTCAAAAGTTGTCAAACACCACCCCCCCCCAAAAAATAAAAAAAAAAAAAAAAAATTGAATTTACACATATTCATGCTCACACTGATCCCCAATAATTCACATCTCTACCCAGTTTTTAATACTCACACTCCTTCAGGTTATTCTGCAGTGGTGTTCCTGTCAGCACCACTCTCCTCTTAGACTTTATTTGAGACACGGCCTTGGATATTGCTGATGTGGAATTCTTCAGCACATGGCCCTCATCACATACCACTATGTCTGGACCTACAGTAATACATGAAGGCAACTAGAACAGCATTCAGAGAGGGCAGAACTCTGTCCAGGCAGATAGTTCTTATCATTAATAATAAATCAATAAATTACTGGATTACCATCAAAATCTACCTGTACTGAAGGTATCTACTTGGATTAAAAGTGTCTACCTGAATGAAAAATGCTAAGAACTAATGTTCACTCCCTCAATTATAAGTTTTAGGATGCTAATCTGTCCCCAATGTATTTACCTGGATTAAAAACAACTAATTTGGATTATAGGCTCTAACCTGGATCAAGCAGGGTTTCAGCGAATATCCTCTTCTGTCTCTTGTTTCTGACTCGGACACTCTGACTAAGGTTGCGGAACATCTCATATCCCATAATCATGACCCCGCCCCCTTCATGCCAGTCTTGTAAACAGTCGGCTCTGCTGTGGTTATTCTTCACACTGGACAGCTCATAAACCTAGTGAAAATAGATTTGGTGGAGAAACACTAACAACACACTTGGTGGGAAACTTGCACTAATATTATGTAATACCAGATTACAGCACGGAGCAATTATTTTTGCCATATAATACAAGCAAACTAAACATGGCATTGACAAAAAATCCAGAAACTTTCCATATCTGTCACACAAAAAGGTGGTAAATCCCTTTAATTGCCTTAGAGGAACATTAGCATCCCAGAAAATAAATTTTAACTAAGTTTAATACATATATCAATGCTATAAAAAAGTTTTTTGTGGACTCTACTTTAGATGATAAAAAACTTTTTCTTGAATTAAATCTCTAAAAAATAAGTGTATGACACCTGTTGTTTAGTTTCTAAGACATAATGTAACTCTCTTTTTTTTATGAATTTTATCATAGTAATGAGCAAAGTCTAGCATGTCTTCAGTGGGGTTTGTAACACTACTTACAGATTAAGTTAAAATAAATCAGCTATTGATTATACATTTGGTCTTTTCATTGCACATATGCATTTTTAAAAATAACTCAAGAGTATTTTATAGTCCTTACATCCAGCCTGTCTTCCTCTTCCAGCCACTTGGTCCACTCATTCTGCCAGTTCAGCACAGTGTTCAGTGGACAGATAACCAGACATCTCCTGAATGGCAGGTACTTGGGATGGGTTAATACTGTGTGGGCAAATGTGATAACCTACATGGAGAAAGTGGACATGTTTGGTATTAGGATTCCCCTTGATGTATAAAGTAAAGCAGTATGAGAACAAAACAAAGCTGCAGATATACAGACAAAATTGTTCTTAACTAAGATAACAACAAAATAAATAATAAAAATGTTCATAGATTAAAAAAAAAAAAAACATGCTACAGACATAAACAGACCAATGACTAAAATGTATGATTTCATGTAGAGGTATCAGGACCAAAATGAGAAAATACTACAGACATCTTCATTTAACCTTTTCAGAGACTGTGCCGAGAGTTGAATCTATTAGAGAGTTGAATCTATTAGAGTTAAATCTATTCCAAATATGAGTGTTTAGACTTACAGACAATGTCTTCCCTAATCCCATACAATGAGCCAGAATGCAGCCAGATCCCTCAGGGTCCTTCTTATACTGGTCCAAACTCTCGATAAGACAATCCCACATAAACTGGACAGCTGCACACAGTTAAAGAAAAAAACAAAGCTGTTCATGAAATGCTTGCACTTTGTAAATAACAAGTCTAGTTTGCAAGACATTCACTTCAGACATTAAAATATAGCATAGTTCAAGATATTCGATTAAAATTTACATTTATGCCAGAAAAAAAATGGATAAGATATTTAATAACAGTGCCTCTCTGTAAGCAATGTCAGTAGATCAAATTTTTTTCTGTTTTTGAACATGTTTCAAATTATTAACAAGCATAGCAGCTAAATTCTATGTTCTTTATTTATTGGAGAAGGGGTGTTGGTCACACAGTTAAAATCTCCGCATCTAAATCCAGCATCTTTAAGCCTACCTTCAATCTGATGTGGTTTCAGATTTTTCACAAGGGATTTGTTAACTTGAATCAGAGGTTTATCCGAGTCTTTCTTCATTTCTAGCACCAATTGTGTGGCTACAGGACACTTGTTAGGGGAACCGCCATCCTCCATTAAAACAACATTAAACTGAGAAACAAAGACAAAACTGAAGATTATGTCATGAACATTTACTATCATCATGGCTCCATGAATTGAAGACTAAGACGCAACTTTTCCTTTGTTTCTAAAAATCTCTTTGATGCAGCTTTAAACAGCACAACTCTTATTCATTTAGACGTCCCCATTTAGAAGAAGTCCAGTAAGACACGTTTTAGCTGATAAGTTAATATATCATTTACTATATAAATATATAATAAAAATGGGGTAAATGTTTTGCATCAAATATTTTGGACTATAGGTTTCAAGTAAAAAGAATATTCAATACTTTCAAGATTTAATCTGCATTCAAACACTCAAATTCAAGATTATCCTAAGAGGCTCATAATAGCAAATAATCTCATTCAGGACAGGATTAAAAATAATCCAGACCAGCATTCAACTCATATAATTTCATGCAAATAAATCTACAGCCAATACCTTTCAGTATGAAAGATGATTTTATTATGGACATTAAAGACAAGCCTGACATTTTTATCTGGGAAAGCTCTTACTTGTTGCTGTCTATCTGAGATTCTTTTCCGCCTTTCTTCTTCTAGTTTGGCTGCCGTTTTGGTTTCTTCCTGTAGTTTGTCTTCCTTTAAAATTTTTCTGATCTTCTTTCTCTTTCTTCCAGGTGTATTTTCATCATCATTTTCATCTCCACTTCCCTGAAAAACAGATAAGAAAGTTAATAAACGATTTGCATCAAGTGTTCTGACAGCAACCCCTATACTAAAGAGAGTTAAATAATCTTCTAAATACAGTAAAGCTATATACATAACTATATCTTTTGTATTAGATTCTACAATTAAATGATTATAACAACAACTAGGTTCTTGATACTGAAACATTTAAACAAATAAAAAAAATATGATACTCATGTTTGTACTGACATTTCAACTGTTATATCATCAAAGATTGCCACTGCCATCATAATGAATGAAAATTTTGGATCACTAGAATTGGAATTCTTGGTGTATTAATTATAAAAATACCCTTACTGCTTCTTCATCACTGTTCTTGTTGCTTTCATTAGAAGAGTCAGATGCCAGTTTGATACGTTTCCTCTTTTTATTTCCCTTCTTGGTGTAGGATCTTTCGTTGCCTTTCTTCCCTTTTTTAGTTTTTAAATCTTCATCAGATTCATCTGAGGAAAAAAGGCTTTCGCTGTCTTTCTCTTTTTTGTTCTTTTTATCCCTTCTACTCTTTTTCTTAGATTCAAAATCAGAATCTTCAGACATTATTTCAATGGACGAGAAGTTTGTACTGCTAGCATCACTTTCATCGCTGTTTGTTTTCCTCTTCCTAAAGGTTATGTCATCATNGACATTCACTTCAGACATTAAAATATAGCATAGTTCAAGATATTCGATTAAAATTTACATTTATGCCAGAAAAAAAATGGATAAGATATTTAATAACAGTGCCTCTCTGTAAGCAATGTCAGTAGATCAAATTTTTTTCTGTTTTTGAACATGTTTCAAATTATTAACAAGCATAGCAGCTAAATTCTATGTTCTTTATTTATTGGAGAAGGGGTGTTGGTCACACAGTTAAAATCTCCGCATCTAAATCCAGCATCTTTAAGCCTACCTTCAATCTGATGTGGTTTCAGATTTTTCACAAGGGATTTGTTAACTTGAATCAGAGGTTTATCCGAGTCTTTCTTCATTTCTAGCACCAATTGTGTGGCTACAGGACACTTGTTAGGGGAACCGCCATCCTCCATTAAAACAACATTAAACTGAGAAACAAAGACAAAACTGAAGATTATGTCATGAACATTTACTATCATCATGGCTCCATGAATTGAAGACTAAGACGCAACTTTTCCTTTGTTTCTAAAAATCTCTTTGATGCAGCTTTAAACAGCACAACTCTTATTCATTTAGACGTCCCCATTTAGAAGAAGTCCAGTAAGACACGTTTTAGCTGATAAGTTAATATATCATTTACTATATAAATATATAATAAAAATGGGGTAAATGTTTTGCATCAAATATTTTGGACTATAGGTTTCAAGTAAAAAGAATATTCAATACTTTCAAGATTTAATCTGCATTCAAACACTCAAATTCAAGATTATCCTAAGAGGCTCATAATAGCAAATAATCTCATTCAGGACAGGATTTAAAAATAATCCAGACCAGCATTCAACTCATATAATTTCATGCAAATAAATCTACAGCCAATACCTTTCAGTATGAAAGATGATTTTATTATGGACATTAAAGACAAGCCTGACATTTTTATCTGGGAAAGCTCTTACTTGTTGCTGTCTATCTGAGATTCTTTTCCGCCTTTCTTCTTCTAGTTTGGCTGCCGTTTTGGTTTCTTCCTGTAGTTTGTCTTCCTTTAAAATTTTTCTGATCTTCTTTCTCTTTCTTCCAGGTGTATTTTCATCATCATTTTCATCTCCACTTCCCTGAAAAACAGATAAGAAAGTTAATAAACGATTTGCATCAAGTGTTCTGACAGCAACCCCTATACTAAAGAGAGTTAAATAATCTTCTAAATACAGTAAAGCTATATACATAACTATATCTTTTGTATTAGATTCTACAATTAAATGATTATAACAACAACTAGGTTCTTGATACTGAAACATTTAAACAAATAAAAAAAATATGATACTCATGTTTGTACTGACATTTCAACTGTTATATCATCAAAGATTGCCACTGCCATCATAATGAATGAAAATTTTGGATCACTAGAATTGGAATTCTTGGTGTATTAATTATAAAAATACCCTTACTGCTTCTTCATCACTGTTCTTGTTGCTTTCATTAGAAGAGTCAGATGCCAGTTTGATACGTTTCCTCTTTTTATTTCCCTTCTTGGTGTAGGATCTTTCGTTGCCTTTCTTCCCTTTTTTAGTTTTTAAATCTTCATCAGATTCATCTGAGGAAAAAAGGCTTTCGCTGTCTTTCTCTTTTTTGTTCTTTTTATCCCTTCTACTCTTTTTCTTAGATTCAAAATCAGAATCTTCAGACATTATTTCAATGGACGAGAAGTTTGTACTGCTAGCATCACTTTCATCGCTGTTTGTTTTCCTCTTCCTAAAGGTTATGTCATCATTAATATTATTATACAAACGTTTTGATAATTTGTTATAGCAGTTTATTTAATTCACAGAAAGTCAATTTAAACTTTGTATGGAATTCCTTGAATGCTTCAGCTTTACTATTATTTCTTTTAAAATGTTATCTACAGTTTCTATGATTATACTTGAAATGTCAAAAACAGTAACAAATTCACTGTATCATCAAAAATTTAAAGTCACTGAAAGCTTTAACTAACACTTTTATATCTGCATGTACCTCTTTTTGCTCCTCTTAATCTTTTTCTTCTTCTCTTTTGTACTGACAGGAGCATCAGAATCACTTTCGCTTAATTTTACCCTTAGAAGCTTCAGATTTTTCTTCAACTTTTTGGGGGTTACAAAGTCACTGTCACTACTTTCACTGAGTGCACCATTTTCTTTAGATTTTTTCTTTTTGGTTGCTAGAAAAAATATAATCGTATTGGTGAAAATTAATTTTACTCTTTTTAAACCTGACATTTCTTTGATACCAACAACTAGCAGAAATGACCCCCGCAAAAAATAAGAAAATAATAATAAAAAATCCATGCCAACAAATTACAAACAGACCTAAGTTTTCAGAATTATCATCTGAGCTGTTGTCAGAGACATCGTCCTCCTCCTCTTCTTCATCACTCATCTCCCTCAGCATCGCCTGCTTAGCACGAATATTTTCATCTTCTTCCTCGTTCTTCAATTTGATTGCTTTAAGCTTCTTCTCATCATTACTGAGCAAATTGACCTCCTAAAAGAGAGACCATTCATAAATTGTGACAACAACACTATCTCTTTTTCTCAAGACTGACCTGTCCTTTAGTATAAAGGTGTATACAGTTATATATCACCGTGGTTGCTCAAATAGTTCAAACTGTGTGATTAATCAGTACAAAAAAATATTTTCTAAAATTCTTTTCTTGGCCCTTGGCCCAACATTTAACTCATGCAACCAAATTTATTTTGTTTTGACAGTATCTGATCACTGGCAATCAGTAAGTTATCAAGCCAAGGGACAGATTCTGAATGACTCGACTCTTTGCAATTGTCAGTTGTTACGCTTTCAATGGCTCTTACGAATGAGGAAGAAACAATTAAACCCAAGACCTCATATGGAAGTGAAATAATAAATTCTCATCTTATATATAGTTAAAGAAGCAGCTATCATAGAAATGTTATGACATATGATACTAAAATTACCTCTTCCTCCTCTTCCTCAATATCAGTGTCAGACTCTGAATCAACGGAATCAGAGCTGCTGTCGCTGCGCTTCTTCTTGGGAGTGGTCTTCTCTGCAAGATAAGAATAAATATCTTACAATCAAGGTGTACAAAAATATGCACTCAAAACTATTAAATGAAGAAAATAGTTATCTAAACCAATATTTCTTGAAAAATATTCAATGCAAAAACTTGAAGCTCTTGGTACCAAATGAAATCTAATAAATATATGAAGAGATTTTATAGCAACAGAGTACAGAGCATTGAGACCAACATTTTACATGGTTATCTAAGATCTTGGAGTCCAGTTACCCTTAACAATTAATTTTTTTCACCAATTGACACATAATTTTCATAGAGAAACCAATAAAGCAAACAGAGTAGAGGTTATATGTTTTGCAATCTTGGACTGCAAACACTGACTGCAGAATTATGGCTGCAGATCATTTGAATTGTAGAGGCTTCAATAACTTCATGAGACATGCAAAATCTATGAAACTACATTCTATATTTCCGGTCATTAATAAGAAGTCCTTGTGACTTCCAGGGGTAACAAGTGATAGGGTGACATCTTTGGTCACATCTAATATCAACCCTTTTCCTCAAAAGATTTTGAATTATCTTTAACTTTCCATAAATCCATTTGAGAATTGTAAATTTAAGTCTCCATGAAATCCAGATATTTGATGAATCCACTGGCAGCAAATATTAGGGGTTCAACAGGCAACCAACAAACATTCCTATACACGTACAATACTTCACAGTTCTTTGCAAATGCACACAGCAATTGCTCTATACAATGCACACACACGTGCTAGACACACGCACACCGTGGAGAATGCCACCTGTACATAAACACAAGCAAGCAAAAAAGGACATCATGTTGCTTTGTGAACTCTGTGAAGCTGCAAGTTGAAACAGGCAAAGCAGGGATCCTTACCCCGATTTTTTCTAGTCTTGTTTTCCCTTTTCTCTTCATCACTAGGTCCCCTTTCCACAGCTTCATCTTCCCTCTTTGTTCTCTTTTTCTTCCGCAAGGGAATATTGGCAAGCTTATCAATTTCCTTTTCCAGATCAGAATCATAATTCGACGAGTCAGACACATGGTGTTCGACCTCCCTGGCTTTTGTCTTTTGCTGCGTTTCTGAGATTGGTTTCTTGTGTTTCTTAGGTTGCTCATGGCCTCCATCTTCTCTTGATACAAGGACCTTGACTGGTTTCAGGATCTTTGGATCTTCCAACCCATATTTTAGACGCAACCTGGCACTCAGTGAGTGGTCACGAGTAGGTTTACTGGGCTTTTTGCCTGGAAAAAAAAATCAAACTTAATGAATTTTTCCATCTGAGAAAATTCTCTCCAAGAACAGCACTTTTGTTATGTTGGTAATCAATAAAATTGGTGAAAATTTTCCTTTTGCTTCACAATGAAAAATTAACAGGAATCCAACTGGATATAAACTCGAATATTTTCTCAATATTCATAGCATCATAGAGACCAGAGTTCATTCTTTTTTATTTTTAAAATGGTGTTGAAATATCATCTGCACCTGCAATACTATTTACCTTCTGGTGCAGCCATTTTTTTCTTCTTTTTCCTCTTCTTTGCTGTGTCCGAATCAGAATTACTGATCCCCAAAGAATCATCAGACGACTCATCACTTTCACTCCCCAATTCCTCTTTCATCCACTTTTCTAACTGCTGTTTAGCCTGGATATTTTCTTCGCTGCTATCAACATCATCTTTCCTCGATTTTCCTTTCTTTCCTCGTTTTACATCATCACTTTCTTCTGCGTTATATGTTTCTGTGTTCACTTCATCGCCAGAATGCTCATCTATTTCATTGTTATCACTATCCGATATCAAGCCATTCGTCATTTTAGGTGAACATTTAGAATGCTGGTAAAGTACAGTTTTCTTTTTCCTTTTTCCAATATCTGGATCAGATCTTTCATCACTTTTTGATGTCCCTGAGGTTTGCTGTGACAATTCTGTGTCCTTCTCAATACTGCATTTCTTTTCCTTTTCACGTAATTCATCTTTCTCTCCTGTCATTTTTGTTTTTTGCTGTATCATTTCTTCTTCATCACATGAACCATCTGACATTGTACCAGATTCTTTGGCAAGAAGCTTTTTTCTTGATTTCCTCATAGAAACAAAACCTGATATCTGGCCATCTTCCCCATCAGATGACCCACCAGAATCTGTGCCATTTTCTTTGGCAATCATCTTCTTTGTTGTTCTTCTCCTGGATTCAGAGCCTGATATCTGGCCTCCTTCCTCATCAGATGACCCATTTGAATTTGTGCCTGTTTCTCTGACAATAAGCTTTCTTCTTGTTCTCCTCCTGGATTCAGGACCTGATACATGGCCGTCTTCTTCCTCCTCTTTGTTTGATCTTGTTATCTTTGACTTCTCACGTTTAGATAGCCTGTCAGAGAACTCCTTTTCCATCTTAGATGTCCTTTTTTTAAAACTCTCTGTTTCACAAGCAGAACCTATGTTCTTAGTCTTTTTAGCACCATTAGATTCACAACTGTCAGTTTCCTTTTTCTCAGCATCAGAGTCTTCTTTTTCATGCCTTGGTTCCACTTTCTTAGCAGATTCCAATTCTTCTACAGTATCACTGGACATTATTTTCTCTTCATCACCTAATTTTTCTTTTCTGTTTTCTTCATCACTGCACTCGAGTCTGTCCTCTTTTCCTGAACTAAAACCCATTTCTTCCAACTCTAATTCTTCTAGATTTTCATTCTCATTATCTAAACTCATGGTCTGCTCCTCTTGTGTTCCACTATCACATGAATTTAATTCATCCAGCTCTTTCAAAAAATTGTCCAGGGCTGTTTTAGGTTTCTCAATCTCTCTCTTATCTTGATTTTCATCATCATCCACCATCTTCATGCCCGAGTCCCCATCCTCAGTTTGATCAGGTGTTATTTCATCTTTTCCACTTGACTTCGTGCCTTGACCCTCTTCAGAATCAGCTTTGGCATTTCTTTCACCCGTATCTGTCTTTTTTGCAATTTCGGCTTGGGCTATATCCATGCTTGTTTCATCAATACCTTGCAATTCTTCTCTCAGTTCATTATCAATATCACTGTGACTGTTGTCATTACCATCTGCACTCTCAGTATTCTTGCGATGCTTGTCACTGTCCTGTCCTTCATCATCAACATTCGGTTTGTCAGGTTCCGAGTCTTTGTTCTCTCTGCCCCCCTTATCTCCTCCTTTCCCCCCGGAATCACTTGACACCTTATTGCCTCCCTTCAGCCTGATGCGGAACCATCCTGACCCAGGAGTCCTGGACTGTTTGCCAGCTTGACCCTTGGGTCCTTGGTCATCATCATCATCATCATCATCGCTGTCCCCATGCCGTCTCTTCTTTGACCCCTGGTCATTAGCATCACAATGACCATTGGTCTGACTCTTGGACTCCGTGTCCTTATCCTCCTGAACCGACTGTCCGGAACCTGCGTTCACATGAATGGTACCCATGTCTGGATTGAGATTGACTAAAATGGGGGCTTCCACTGTGGTGGCAAGGGGTGGTGTGGGGTCTTCGTCTGGCACAACAGGGGCAGGGATGGGGGTTCGTGGAGCAGGAGAAGAAACCTCTTCAATGATCTGTATATCATCATCAGAGCCCTCATCCTCCTTGCTGGGTGCTGTTTTAGTGTGAGAGGAAGTCTGGGTGGGAAGTACAGCCGCTTTGTGGATGACAGCCATCCTCTGTGACAGCTGAGCATGCCTGGCCATGGCCTGAATACTGCCCAGTTTGGCCTGGTAGGTGACCACAGCCCGCCTCAGTTTCTTGGCAACTTCAATTCTTGTCACCATGTTTTTAACAGTGACCTTTTTATTGACAAACCCCTTCTCTGACACTCTGACCTGCTCCTTCATTTCCCTCAGGAATTTGGTCATAGAATGTGTGGCAGCTAACTGCTTGTCTAGAACTGTGTCGATATACTGAGCCTCCAGGTACAGCTGTGCCTGAAAGTTAGCTGGAGGGTCAGCATCAGTGACAGCTGTAGAAGAATGAATTTGAACTGGTAACACTTTATCGCTACAAGAAGCTGTGGGTTCCTTACTCTTGTTTGCGGTATTCCTTTGAGACTTTTTCGCCAATGTTGTCGACTCAGGGTCCTTCTGTTTATCAGTTTTCTTAGCCAATTTTGACTTCAGGGTCTCTTGCTTCCGCTGGTCAGCTCTGTGTTCCTTTTCCACTGCTGCCAGGACGTTAGTGCACTGAGCCACCAGGTCAGTGAGGGGGAGAGGATTGCACACATAACAACGCCATTTCTCGTTGTCACCTAGGAGAGGAAAACATACAGTTTTAAGCAATTTAAAGCTAATTAATCTATTTACAACAAGAGATCTACTAAACAGCATGACAAAAATACAATGGCAGGGGCGGATTGAGGCCATTTTTTTTTGGTCTACCAAAAGATGGTCAGATTTATAAGTTTACATCACCGGATAGCTATTTTTTTCTTCCGGAAGACGGTCACAAATGGAGGGTGGATCAACAAAGACGATTTGGAAGACTGTAAGAAATAATATCTCTGGATCTGTTCCTGAATGACACATCTTTAAAAAACTATAATCAATAACTAATTTTATTGTGAAAAAAATATAGCAATTTTAACTTCATGAAGTATAATTGAAATAGCTGAATGAAAAAAAGGTTACAACAGCCATACAAATTTCAAAATATCATTTCATTTCCACCTCCAAAAAATTTCATTATATCCCATGCTGTCACGTACCAAGACCTTCCACAGCGGAGTATTCGGACCGCCCCAAGTTTCTCTTGATACAGTTACGACAGAAAGCATTGGTGCAGTAGTCACAACACTGCAGTCTTCCACCCTCGGCACACCAACGACATTGCTCATCAAAACCATCCTCGTCCTTATCAAACTCCCCACTGCTGTAGTACTTGTAGCATTTCTAAATTGGAAATCATCAATGCATTACTAGTGATCCCATTATCTCAATGTCTGTTCTTCCATATATGATTGTATTGCTCAATTGAAATTCGACACGAGAAAAATAAAAAAGAATAGTCCTCCTCAACAAATCTTTCTCAATTTTGTGCTCTTTAAATTGCTTAAAAACCTTAAGTGCAATCTATTAAGTTACCAAAGAAAAACTTAAATGCAATGCCTGAGAACAGACTACAAAATTTTAATATCATATCATCCACTGCCTAATGGATCATATGAAAACTAAATTTCAGATATTTATCAGGCCAATGTGCCACTGCCACACTTACCTTACAGATGAGTACTCTGAGTATAGGGTGCCGCAGGACCTTGCCTCTGATCTTGTGATTTACTTGCTTACCACATGCTGTGCAGTTTACAATGGCATTTGGATCTAAAGAAAAAGGGCAATTCTGGCATAAATTTCTGAGGAAAAACAGATTGCTTATTCATTTGATCAGCCTTAATTTTCTTTCAACAAAACCTATTATTCATTACAGATTATTTAATCAATTACAAAAAAAAAAAAAAACAACTAAATTTTAAAATCATAAAACACAATTCATCAATGGCATTTCAGCACTACATCTCTTTAACTTCTGGCAATCCAAGTGAATGAAGCAATATGTACACATCACATCATGACTGAATCACAAAATCAGTCTACCTTCAACATTCATCATTTTTCGTGACCTGGTTTTTACTTCTGGACCCTTGAATGGTGAAGACTTCAAATCTTCCACAGCAACTGGCTGAACCATCACTGTGCCTACAATAAATACTTTCATTCTCTACTTTTTTCTAAGCTACATATTCTTATCTATACAAAAAATAAAATATGAAACGCGAGACTTCCCTTTGAAATGTTATGCAATCTGGTAAAATATACATGAAAATGTGCTGCCATTTCACCTTCTCTGAAACTCTTAATTTTCTATCACTTCTGTTCAATACTAAGTAGATCCATTCAAAATTCAGTAATAGATCTTACCTCATTTACAGATTTCATTACTGTCTAGGATGCCCCAAGCTCACCTTCAGGTAGTATAGGATTTCCCTGGTCATCTAGTTGAATATCTTCTCTAACTTTGTTCTCAGCGTCTCCTCCACAGTCAAGATCTATAGGGGTAACAACAGGCAGCAACGGGGCCATGTTGCCAGAGGTTTCCTCCTCCCCCTCCTCTTCCTCTGATTCCACATACTTCCTGGTTACTTTGGGCTTCCTGGAACAAATACAGAATACTTGTAAGTGTATATTTAATTTATACATCTGGCATGCAAGTTATGAAAAGAATAAAATTCCAAAAGAATTCAAGAAAAATGAATAACTTACTTAATAAACAAAAACAAAACACTAGTCACTTCATGTTATTTTCTTTTTTTTTTTTTTGGCTATGGTTTTTTCGGCATACAATTGATAAATTTGCAGTGAAATTTCAAACACTCAGCATTACAAAATAACAAGTTTATGTATCTTGAGGGTTTATATTGGATACCTTCTGGAAGACCCACTACTGCTGGCCTTTACTTGTTCCTAGAAAAAAATATTTCAATGAAAAAATAAAAACATTACTACAAATCCTAATTTGGACCCCTCCACCACACTTTTATCCAACTTTAAAACAAACATACTCTAAGATTGGGATAAAAAATGTAATATATTTCACTGTTTACTGCCACATGTATCCTTTATGTCTACAGATTAACTTTTTTTATTTGACTTAAATTATTCATTTTTTAATAGGGAAGATGTTTCTGCAAAAGCTTACTTACCAATTCCACTGGGGAAGCTGGGTTAGAAGTCTCTCCCTGAACCTGAAGTTTTTTAACCAAGACATCAAGCTTGGACCTGAAAGACGACGAATGTAAATAAAATCAAGAATGTTCAACCAAGAATGACCTCTGGAAAATGCACCCTAATGTTTATTTATTCTCAGATGTAGGATTCATTATTCATACTTGTAAACTTCTGAAGGTTTAATCATTCCACAGAAGCGTGATTTTATATAGTTTCAATCATAAACTGGTACAAAATCAACAATTCAAAACGGCATCAGTGCAAAGACTGATTGTCACGATTTGGTTGCCTGAGCCAGATATGTGAAAGTGTCAGTCCAACCGGTCAGATTATCTATATTGCATATATGCTATAAAAAATAATAAAATAAAAAATTTACAAAAAAATAAATAATAAAAAAAACAGCATAACTTTTGGAAAAATGGTCCAATCAAACTAATCTTTAATTCAACCTGTATTCTATTTAAATTGATCACTCCCATAAGTTTTAAGACAATTAGCCTATGGGTTTTCCTTAAATGTGTTATCTGTATTGCAAATATATTGAAAATGGCTGCAAAAAAAAAAAAAAAACTGAAAACGGCAGGGAAAAAAAAATGGTCCTTTCAAGCTGATTTTTGAACATGAACTGCATTTTATGAATATTTATCAGTTTTGAAATTTGAAGACAATAGGGTGAAACAGTTTTTCACTTATCATATTATCTCTGAAAGAATACACCAATGGCTACAACCAGCTGGCTACAACAGACCCAGGTGACAGTAAAATTACACGCTTACATAAAGCTTGGACTAAGGACTTTCCAATTTTCAATGATTAAAGGCAAGTATCAGAATAGGAGGATGGAGTGTTGGTGAATCGGAGAAAAATACTTTTTTACCCCTGGGAAATCTGACTCTAGTCAACTTTTGGACAATTATTCATGATAAAACAAAAATTTTAAAAACACTTATTCAAAACTAAGCACAAATTAAAAACAACCTGCTTTAGACTGAACTAAAATACTTGATTAATGACTCAGACATGGGGAAACTGCTCGAGGACCTGCATGATTTCTGACATTGCATGTTCTCTGGACTGGCAAGGATTTTGTGAAAAGACATTATAATACAATAACAAATCACATGTAAACAGGCTTACGGAAATAAAAATACTTAGTTTGATCTATTACAGAATTAATAGGAGGACCTGCAGATTTCTTGTATTGCTGAACCTATGGACCTTCAGTCTTTTCACAGTTTTCTCCAAAATAAAAAAAAAAAAAAAAAAGCAGTAGGAAAAATTATAAAGGAATTATTTATTTATTTATTCATTCGTACAAAGTATTTTTCGGGGGGGGGGGGGTCTGACGGATGCATTCTATGCATTAAATTCATGACAGGATCCCATGCAATATTGTGGATACACCCTGCAAAATCTTAACCACTTTCAAATAAACAAACACAACGTAAAGGTCAGAGCCCTCTGACAATGCCCTTTGTGTTGACCGTCAATGTCAGCTAATAACATTACATATGCAGCGATGCAAAGCAGACAAAGCCGTCAATGCAGCAAATGCGGGGAAATTCGCTAAGTTAAATTAAAGATTGACAGCCTTGTAATGACGTTCATTTCGTTTTAAAAAAGAAAATATAATAATAAGAAACCAACAACAGTCGAGACTTTGAGTGGGGAAGGCTAGTTTACTTCATTATTTTCACATCCTACCTCTTAGCTTTCGCGGGAACATAATCACTTCCTCCAGATGGCGCTCCAGCTATCGCGGATATTTCGGTTCCATTGCTGTCAAAGCTCGGTGAATCACCGGCTGCTTCGACACTCATTGCCCGTTTTGCAATGCTCTTTATCTCATCAAAAGCGGTTAACTTCTGCTACCACCTCCTTTGCCGCTTATTAAGTCAAATTATTGTTGGAATATACGACAGCGCCTGAAAATGGCTGCCGATTCTGAGAGCAATGACGCACTTAATCACGTGACAGTAATTATAATAATTTATGCATGACGTCACATATCACGTGACATCATTTGCATATCTTATGCAAATCAGGTAGTTCAATTTATTAAAAAAATTAAAGATTTCATAAGTCAAAATAAGGGTTTTATCTAGTGAAAAAACACGTTTAATCAACTTCCGGTGAAAAAAAGCAGACGAATTTACTAATTTGTTACCCTTTCTTCCATTTATCTAAGCACTTCAGTTGTCCACTAAGTATCTGTGTATTACTCCCCATGTTTCGCCTTGTTTCTAAAAACCAACTTTGTCAAAGACATGAGAAAATGGATTTATTTTCCAAAATAATAACCTTCTGCTACACTCATGCCGGTAGACTTCCCACAGTTCCTCACGTTGACAACATCCTGTTGCGCATGGGCACATTACAAAATGGCAGATTAAAGTTGGAGTTTTTCGACAGTGGTAACGTTTTATCATTTGCTATACTATTCTTTTGTCTGCTGATTTCATAACGTCGTCGGAAAGAAACCTGTGATTCAATATGACAGATACTGCGGTGGATCCGCAGGCAGAGGTCCGGAAACTGCAGGATCTTGTAAAGAAATTGGAACGGCAAAATGAAGTCCTACGAAGTAGACAGAATCTGACAGAAACAGACCCACCACAGGTGGACAGTTCTTCCAAACTTAGTGATAAAAATCAGGACAAATCACTTTTAAAAGACGATAATAATCACAGGATAAATAGCAAGAAAAATACTAGTTTAGAAGAAGTGGATGTGATAGATCTTGAAAAAGTTTTTAGGGATGAAGACGAAGATAGCTGGTAAGTCAGGGTGTTCTTGGTGAGTCATAAGCTGTGGAAACACAACTCCATTTTATCCAAAATTAAGGCAATTAAAATTTTTAAAAAACATCAGTTTGGTAAAATATATCAGTGTTACATACGTTGTGATTCCAACCCAGGGCAACATAATGGTCATGCTATTCACGACGCTAGTCGATGCAAGTAACATCTGAATTTGGCCAATTAAGGTAGTTTAAGACTCAGTTCACATGAAAAATCTATTTTCTAAAAATCTATTTTCTATTCACGGTATCTTGTGATCATTCCGAGCGAAGCCGAGAATTAATTACAGCTTTGGAAGTAACTTGCTCACGCTGCCAGTAATTACGCCGCGGGGTATTCAGGGCACTGACCGTGATGACAAGATACCGCGAATAGAAAATAGATTTTTAGAAAATGGATTTGTCATGTGAACGGGGCCTAACTGGACAAGTAAGTTAGTTCTGAGGATGCTTGGAAGTGCTGAACCTGGGGCTTCATCATGCCCATCACTTGATTATTCTCAAACAAATACAAAATTGCTTATTTTTGTCATTTTTTTTTAATTAAGGGAAGAGACAAATACACTTTATATAAACAGATAGTGAAAACATTTTTGATATATTTCATTATGTTTAATTTCGAATTTAACTAAGTTACTCACTCTACCCAGTAAATCAAGATTTTTTCCAGGCCATTTTTGATTGATCCTTTGACCTGAGGGCTGTCAAATTCTGATTGCAAAAAAATTGACAGTGTGTGTCTTTGACAAGGCTCCAGCTGATTTGCCGTCAGTGAAAATTACTTCATCCATTTGATTTTAATAGGGTTAAATTTAATAATAACTCATAACGATACGTTGGTTGTGGTCTTAAGGAATTGCTCTGTTGTGCAAATATTTCCTGTCATTGCTTGGAGAAAACTAGTATTAGTCTTGTACATCATTATATATTGCAATTTTAAAAAAATTAAGTTAGTTAGTACACATTGTGAAATTCGTTAGAGGCTTTAAGAACATAACAAAAATTTTCAATATATCATTTTAATAATTTGGGATGAGGACAGAATGTTCTAGTCAATTTGTACTGGAAAGAATATTGACTTTGCAAAACATTATGAAAAGTTAGAATTAATTGAGTACTATTCAGAAGGAATCATTTTACTATAACATGTGAATAATGTATATGTTCAGAATGTGTTTTAAAAATTCAGTTCTAAGCAAGATTATGTGGGTACCTCCCCCTTCACTACACAGTACACACATACACTTTTTCATTTAGGAGCAGGGCAACTACAGTACATTTCCAGGCTGACTTGATAAACTACTAGTATGCCTTTTTCATGAAGGTGGGGGGGGGGGGGGTGTCAAGACTTGCTCTGTAATAGATTTTGTTCATTAAGTGCACATAAGTGTTCCTTAGATGTTTACTTAGAAAAGGAAAAAATACACTTTTTGATGTTTTATCTACTGTATTTATATGCACTTAAAAAAGATAAAATGATAGATGCAAGAGGCATCTGACATTTAATTTATCACCTTTGGTTCTGAAGCACTATCTCTTGGCTTCCCACCACCAAGTTGGAGACTCTTTGTACAGAGAGCTTTCTCACAGCACAGTTTTGGCAGGCTGCCTTAATGATACATCCATTGTACTATTTTCTCTCTCTCTCTCTCTGTAGATGATGAGAAAATAATCTTAATTTGTACTTGCAGGGTTTTTTTTTTTTCCTGATGTGTGTCCGAGTAATTCTTGTAAGGTTCAATTTGTAAATACCCTGAGTGTCAGAGACACTGAAGCTACATTGTTTACTGTTGAAAGGTATTCATGCGATAGCTTCACAGTAGCTCTGTGAACTAGTACAGCAATTAGAGATATACAAAAAAAAAAAAAAAAAGAAACAGCTAAATGACAAAATAAGAGAAAGAAAAAAATTATTTGAATCAGCAAACAGAGTGGGTTAACAGCTATATATAACACAATTTATATGAGAATTTGCAGGAAATGCAAATGAAATGTCATTGATCAAATTTAGCTACTTCCTTTTGATCACAAAAATTTAACATGAAGTTGGATAACAGTTACACAAGCTTTCAATCATGAATCAAATTTAAATTTTCTTCTCAAAACTAATGTAAGGAGTTTTAAAAATGCTTCAATGTTTTAAAGGTGGCATATATATTTAAGCATCTGTGTTCAAAAGGTTTTGAATGATAAAACTGGTTATTATTATTATAGGTAAATTTTGCCCCATGTTTTAAAGCAATTCAAAATTTAAGAACTTAAAATTAACTAGTACGGTATCATGCTGTATGTGATTTGAAATGCGTATAGTATGCTTGCTATATAAATATATAAATGTATAATAACTGAAAATTGTTTCTGCTTAGTGTACAATATCATTCTTTCTGGCGTATATTTGAAGTATTTGAGCTTTAATTAAGATTATGTCAGGTCTTCATATAAACAGCAAAATTATCTCACGGAGATTCAAAGACAGATTACCTCCAATGTGAGCTGGAAAGTGCACATTACACATGCAAGACATGTTTGATCAGAAATTAAATCTTTATCTGCGTCATGGTGCAGACAAGTCATGATAAACTTACATGTACTCATTATTATTGGAATGGAGATTTAAGGTTCTTATCATGCCAGTGTTGTGTCTGGTAGCCTCTGTATTATTATAGTCACTATTTTTGCCTTTTCTATTTATGTTTATGACATGGACAACATTCCTTTTGCTTTAACATATATATAAATACATAAACTTTCTGATATAGACAAGCTCTAAAAAGTAAATTAATGTCAAGATATGCACATATATATATATATATAAGCTTTTTCCTTAACTATAATTTATCTGTAAATTACTAGTATTCTGATTCCAAGAAAATTCATTATGCCAAGTTTTTATGCCATATTTTCTCACCTGTTATGGAAGAATGGTGAAATTAAAATAACATGGACATTAATAAAGGTTGGATTGACAGAATATGTTGTCCTTATTTTATTAGGGTGACTGAGTTGACTTGACTTATTGAGTACTAGTAGTTTGTTTGTTCACAGTTCCACTCGATTTACCTGTGACAGTGTCTCTGCAGGTGCTATCTCTTATATTTTGAACTGGGATGAAGCCATATATCCCATTTATAATTAATAGTTTACTAGTACCAATGTGAGTTATGGTTTTGAAGAAATATCTGAAGTAAGTCGGTGCATTATGAAATGTGTGTGTGTGTGTGGCAAAAATTCATGTCTAGTAATTGAGAAAGGAAACTGCATTGCTCACTTACAAATATTTAAAAACCCTGGAAAATTGGAGAAGAGGGGGCCAGTCCCCAAGACTGCCACATCAAGAAATAAAAGAGTGAGGTGATCAGAAAATATCTGGAATTGTGACTCAGAGCATTTACATTTGAACATTGTAATGCTGTCCCATGTAGCATACTGTTGCCTAACCATTTGACCCTGAGCTAAGCGAACATATGCCACAAATCAATAGAAAGCTTTCACATGTTGTTCCTATCATATTGGATTGAGATCAAGGTTATATGTTCTCTGGATTAAGCCTCCATTATCAACTCCCAAAGCTTTAAAGTATGCCCCCATGTATTTTCATGGTACTTTCTCTGCAATTTCTATTATAATGAAATAATTGGGGAAATAGACAATTTTTAAGAGGTGGGAACTTGACCAGTAGGATACATTTTCTGTGTTAAATGGACTACATACAGGATTTTTGTATTATAAGTTCTTGACATTCATTGTGCATACATTCATTTTGATTATGACCTAAAGGCATGAAACATCCTTATGACTTGATGACATTACTAGCAGTAATCTGCTAAATAAAAAAAAAGCAATTTATGAGAAGGGAAATACAAGAAACGTGTATTCTTTCACTCTGCTTAAAACAAGTGCAAAAAATGATCCGATTTTGGGATTTTAGACATGGAATAAAAGAGCAATAAAAATGTCATGGAAGCTAACTACCCTCTACCAGGGCGACTGATAGATTTTTACTGATATTCACAGATATGTCTCTAGCTAGATAGATTGTCATTTTCAACTGTGACTTCAGTTGAAAATGACAATCTGTCTAGCTAGAGAAATATCTGTGAATATCCGTAAAAATCTATCAGTCGCCCTGGTAGAGGGTAGAAGCAACTGCCATGGTATACACTGGTATACACTAACTGATTGCTTTTATTATGCCAGTAGATAAGTCAGTCGAAGTCTCAAATTAAAAAAAAAACACTGATCTGACATTAGTCCTGGAAGAGACTGGGACCTGTTTAGAAAAAAGAAGCTCTTGTGTGCATATTTAATTGAGAGCAAGCTTTATGAAACTTGCCCAGAATCTGTAATTCTACCTTTTGAAACTGCTACTAGTAGAGGCTCTTAGGCTTCGTTCACATGGAAAATCTATTTTCTAAAAATCTATTTTCTATTCGCGGTATCTTATGATCACGGTCTTATAGTAACTTATAGTAACTGGCTCGCGCTGCCAGTAATTACGCCGCGGGATATTCAGGGCACAGACCATGATCATAAGATACCCCGAATAGAAAATAGATTTTTAGAAAATAGACTTTCCATGTGAACGAAGCCTTAGACTAATGAATATTGTCCAAGATAATCCAAAGTTTCCCAACTTATTCAAGTTACTGTCAAAACAACCAGAATTTTGTAGCTCTATTCAGAAACAATGGTAGACTAACAAGTTCAGTGCAATATTGAATAAAAGCAGACAATATTTATCCAAAAAAATTTTCTGGTAATTTTTCTCTTCAAATCTTGCGACAATAATATGCACTGCCACATTCATTGAAGATGCACTTTTATCAATATTTACATGGGGAATGGGAATAAAATAGACAATATTGACAGTACAGTACTAGTGTGAATGGTCTTAATTTCTGCCATAGGGCACTTGACTTGGTCAGGGCAGGGATCATGATCAGGGCAAGGTAATTGAGACTAATTGCATTATTGCCTGTATATATATGGCTACAGGTAAAAAGCATGCATTAGGCAATGCAACATAATTGTATGGCCTAGGTGTATTTTCATTAATTTCTATAATTATGTCTCATATATATATAGAACAATAATGTGTTTGAAATTAGTTTGTCTCTGTAGTCTGCAGTTAGTGTCCTGGCAGTTCTGTGTCCTGTTTTACTGAACAATTTCAGTTATAGACCCTGTCAGGTACTACTTAAACTTACTAGATCCATAATCGACTGCTTAAAGTAGAAGACCTAATAGCACTGTTGAGGCTCTTCCAACTTTTGTCGGAATTCCGACTTTTTCAGGGTCATTTGGATCATTCTTGTGAATCCTGTAAATCAGATCCTACTTTTTCAGTTAGGACTGGTCTCGTCCCTGTAATAGTTATAGTCTAAAAGCATTTCAAGAATTATAAGCCTTGTAGGATTCTCCCACAATAAATTTAGTTGACATAAATTCTAAATGAGCTATTGACACCTTTGAGAAGACTGCGATCTTGAAATTTGGAATAATGCATTACCACTGATCTCCTCAGATTGGCAAATATCCCACACTGGTCCATGCTTATAGTTTATACTCTATATGAATAACATTTAAGGAACATAAAATATTATTAAAGTATGATAATAAATATTCATTTGGTATTTTATTTTATTACTTTCCTATCCACTTGATAAAGGGTGTAGATAGTGAAGATGAAATGAATAGCTGTTGAAATAAACTTTTTATTGATATGCAACATATTGGTACATCTTGGTCAGGTTAAAAGAGGATGGCCATGTTTGGGATACCAACCCCAGTCCACACTTTTAATGACAGTGTTATCCTTAACAAACTACTTATCTCAAATTTTGATATTTTTCATTCAAATTCATTGTTACAGTATAATTTTTCAAGTTGTATACCCAGCCTTACTAGTACACTATAGATACTGTCCCTGTGGCCGCAATACAACCCTGGTCATATTTTATATTGAAAAGGTGAAGCTTAACTCCAATTTCATGATAGCATGATATTTAAAAATTTTGAATGTATTTTCAGGTTATATACCTCCCCCAAAAGACCTAGTCCCCAGGATCGCAATGTGAGCCCGTACAAGTGGATGAGGCACGTGTTCGACCACCCGAGTCCCGAGGTGGAGAGCGCCAGGAGGTCTCTTGTGGGACGCCTGGAAGAACTAGCCAGAAGTAAGTTTGGGTAGACTGTGGCATATCTAGGACCCCAATCACAACTGCGGATACGCAGATCTGTTAGGGGCCATTCAGAATTGAAGTGTCAACTGGTCCAAGGCCTCTTACACGTCTCCTTACGCTTCCCTGGAGAGAGACAGTAATTTTAATTAAAAGATCATGGCTCCATTCGACCACACTCCTGGGGAGGTGTTACAGAGGTTGAGAGACCATTACAGGATTAAGTGGTCTTCCTTTCATGTAGGGTCCGCCATATTTGAGCCTTGGACCAGATCTTCTATTCTGAATAGCCTCCAACAGATCTGCAGATCAAATGTGGCCAACCACTAAAAAGCTTTCTGGTTAATCTTCGAAAAGACACTAAATAGATTCCCTGCAGGGATTACACAACAAGCATTCAAGTGGGTTGGTCATATTTGATCTGCGGATCTGTTAGTCGGCTGTTGTGAATGCACTTTAGGGTGTTGCAGGTAAGGTGTGTGCCCTGAGCACCACTTAAGAGGAGAGGGGGGGTGGTAAAGTTACCTTAAACTAGGTTATCGTGGTAAACAGATATTGGAATATTTTTGTCAGGGCTGTTATATGGATGTTTTTGGATGCACATGTTTGCTGAGAAGATTTGAGTATGGCTCTTTTGTACTAGTACTGCAGACTCCAAGCAACGTGGTTTTGAAATCTGTATGGATACTGGTAGTTAAAAATAAGCTAGAATGTGTCACGTGCCATATTACATTACAGGGTCTAACAAGTCAGCTTAATCTAAGACCCCATTTTCACAGATTTTTTAGATCGATCTATCCCTGTGGGGAGTCTCACTAGATTACTGTCAGCTTAGCCGGCTTAAGTGTCTGTCCCGCCTTCTATAAGTTGTAAGGGGGTAATTAACTGTCGTGCGCTCGGCTGACTGCAATTTAGCGTGAAACGCTAGGGAGTTAGGTCAGTCTGGATGGATCGATCTAAATCTCTGGGAATGCACTCTAAAAACACGTTTTACTGATCACAGGAAATGGGGAACCATCAACATGTATTAAAAATAAAAACTACTGAAGGCTCTGCTAAAAGTTCTGTATTATTGACATTAAATGAAAAAAGCCATTTGTTAGTATGTAGCATGACTAGGTAATGACATTGCTCTAGTTTTATACATATGCTATTACGAATGAGGCTGCAAAACTAGACATACGGCAAATATTCATTTGTAGATGCCCTAGTTTATAAGGGTAACATTATGCTGACAAGTTAGCCATTTAGGTTCGTACATGTGCTTATAAATTATATATATTCATAATACTTTATTTATAACCATAGGCAATTTCAGATTGTCTTTTCTTTTTTCATTATTTTATAATTGTGGCATGGACAATCTTGAAACCACTCAGTTATCAAAATTTTAATATTTCCATCTGTAATTTTTTTGTCTTAAACATTTGTTGGTAGTTATTTGTTTCTTAGTTATTTTAAATGTCAGTAGCAGTTCTTTCTTTTACTTAATGTGCCTTGTTTCCAGGTAGTAGAAGCCCATTTGGTTCTCCTGGTAGATGCTCTAGTAACAGTAGCCCGGTAGTAAATGGGGGTGGTTCAATACCAAATATTAAACAGCCATTAATAGGTAAGACTAGAAACATTTAGTTGATGCAGTTTGTAATTTAGTTGTGATTACCATTACACATTACAACAGTTTACTAATCTTTTTGCATTTGATGAGTTTTTTATGCTTAAATGTGGTGGTGGGAAAATACTTCTCTTTATAGAAATGATCATAAACAAAAAGAATCAACTTGATATCAATTCTTGGTAACAATCCTGGACAGTGTCTTTTGCAAAATGATTGTTGTTAGAAAATAATCTTCACTCCATTTTATCAAAAATTGTCTTGGTATCTGAGTATAAAATATGTTGTTTCTAGTTTATATTTTTTCCATCTGAATGAGTTTTGTATTGCATAGTGCATCCTAACACTTTATGTATGATCATGTTCTAAATTATGAAAAATATTATTTTGATGCCAGAAATTGTCTACACTATTTGATGGATGTCCCTTAATCCCATTAATTAACTTACCTCAGAATTGGTCAAAGCCTTTGTGCTCTTGTCTTCAAAGAGTGCTTTGAAAAATATACTGCAGATACAGAAAATGCCATAGCTGTCACATCTAACTTGTTTATCACAACAACTTGCCACTATAGCTATCATATCTAACACACTTATCACAGCTAGGGCAATTATCACATCTTAAACAGCTATCACATCTAACACAGATATCACATCGAAAATAGCTATTGCATCTTCCAGGGCTTTCACAGCCATTACCTCTCATAGTCATCACATCCATAGCTATCACATCCAATACAGCTATCACAATTAACGCAACTATCACATCTTGCAGTCAACACATCTTGCAGTTATCGCAGCTCTAACATCTAACATAGCTATTAGCCTAAGTGTATTAATGTTTTCACATGTTCTCCACTTTAGCAATAAAACAGGGTAAGTTATGCTGTAGTGTGCTTGTGTCTTCACGGGTTTTGTTTGACATGAATATGCCTACAATTCTGATTTATTGTTTGGAATGATAATGTATCTAGTATTCTTAGTGAATCATAAATTTAAACAGTATGTACACTGCATAAATTTCGGCACATGCAAGCATGTACACACACTGCTTGATTATTATTTTATTATCATTATTTATTTATTTATTTATTTATTTATTTATTTATTGCAATATTTCATATAAATGTTCTCATGTCATTGTCTTCAATATCTAATTGTTTTTCTGTATTGTATATAACAGAGAGATCAAAATATAGTGTCAGTGCAATTTGTAGTATGAGGTATACATGTAGTAGCTGGGATTTGTATGAAGTTTGCTGTTTTGCTCACAGAAGTCTTTAACAGCGATTTTCTTGCTTTCTGTTTGAACACACTATGGTCTCCCTTTGCTCATCCAGTAGCTTTAGTTACTTTCCCTTTGCACAGAGTGTATTTTTTTTTTTTTTTTTTTTCCAATTCTGTTTGAAGTGAATATCCCAGGATCGTGCACTTCAGGGAATGACTGCTGCACTTTGTGATGCTGTTTCTATTATAGCAATGATGCTTGAAGTTAACAGAATACAATGACATTAACTTTAAAGATCTTGCTGTTTGTAAGGGTCATGCTGTATGAATAAATTTCCTCGTTGAAAGATATTGAAGTTTTAAAGACCAGTTAATACTAGATATTCTTTACTAGTACTTAAAATAAGGCAAGTTAGCTCACATTTTTGTTAAGTTATATTCATGATTTAACTTTCATATTTCCAGGATCTAGGATAGATACAGGAACTTTTACTCGGCCGAAAAAGACGCGTGATTCAACAGATGGCAAGGAGAGTGGCCTCAAGTCCAGCATGGTCACTGAGGGGCAAGAAGACCAACATAAGATAGACGTGCATGACATACAAGAACTGGCAAGATTACAAGAAGAAAGTATGTAAAAATATATATATGAATAAGAAAAAAATAAAAGCCCTGACCAGGGACAAGTGTGATAAGAGCTAAGATTCAGTTAAAAATCTATTGAGTGGTAAGACAGTAGAGGAATATTGTCAGTATTTATTATTATTATTATTATTATTTTTTTTTTTTTTGGGGGGGGGGGGGGACAGCTGACAGCTGGTAAGTCCAAGAATTTAGAAAGGAGAGCCAAAATTTACCCCCCCCCCCTTCCCTCCCCCAACTGTTCCTACAGATCTGCCCAAGTAGAATTCTTGTAGAGAGTTAAAAGAAAACTGTGTTTGTGTTACTATAATTTGTTATTGCATGTCATTTGACATGGAATAAAGTATACCTACACTGGACATAAAAAGGGGAGGACAGGCTGAGACTGCAGGAGGAATGTGATAACAAATTAATTTGCTAGAATAATATTATTATTATTATTAAAATATCAGGTTTATGATTAGCTCTAGGTACTTGTAAAACTTAATATAAGTCCCTAGGTTTGAATGGACATCTTTCTAAAATTTCACGTCTGTGATTTTCATGTGCAATGTTGAAAGTAACTTATGGTTTAAAATTTATTTGCTACAGGTTTGAGGCAAAGTTTTTCACCTTTGACGTCTCCCAGGAGAAGTAAGTTTTACATGTTGTTTCACCTATGCATGATTTTATCAAGTGAGAGGGCAGTCATTTGATTTTTAAATGGCTTTGATTTGCAGCTAATTTTGTTCTGGTGGCCAAGCATACTTTGAAAAAATTAATATTTATATTAAAAAGCATATCGGTTGCCAATGTCCCTGTTAAGTATAGACCTAATTTGTTGCAGTTAAAATTTAAAATATATTGGAAAGCTGAACTTACCAAAGCCAAGATGACATGGCATATTTTTGATATTATATATTAATAATTATAGTGGAATAATTGTTTTTTATTTCTTAAGCTATTGTCCTTTTAAAAATTTCAGCTGCCAAAGTAAAAGCCGGACCTGTGCCACCGCTATCTTTGAGTGATGCAGAAAATTCCTCACCATTAAGTTCAAACAGGTCTAGTCCAGGGAGATTTGAAGGTAGCGAAACGGTCCTTGAGACTTTTATGAAGAGACAGACATTACAAAAAGACTAAAAAGAAAAAAAATCTAATATCAAACACCCAGTTTTTGAAATCTTGAAGGTCAGAGAGTTATATTCTATTCCATATGTCACACATACATTGTGGATTCTAGTGTTCCTGTGTGTGTTTCAGGAGACCCACCATTAAGAAGACTGAGTAATGGAGTCCAGTCAACAGGGTCCCTGTCCTCTGGGAGCAGTCCACCTGATAGTCCATATGGAAGCCAGTATCTAGAAACACAGAAGGGTAGGTTACTCTAGGCTGTGAAGAAAAGCAAATACAGTAGATTTCTGATGCTTTGGGGCTGGAAAATTTGTTAAAGTTACTTGAAAACTTACGTTAGGAAATGTTTGTAAAGTTAATACCACAGAAAAAAAATTGGTTGTGTTCAAGTGTAGGACTTGCTGAGTCTGCTGTGTACTGATGTCTTTTTATTTGGTAAGAAAAGTCATTTTTGCTACTATCTCATATTTTTGTGGAAAATTTGGTTTTCCAAATTGACCTCGAAAGAGTTTATGAAGAATGTTCTGTTGAAGTACAAGAAAGATATTTGAAGCTTTTAGGATTAAAAGCAAGCAAGTAATATGATCAAGATAATAATGCTATGGATAGGATGTTTTGATGTATTATGTAAAGTTACATAATTTTAAATGGAATTTGAAAACTTTATTCTACCCCTCAGATACAGAATTTTAATCCCTTATTTTGATAATCTCAGAACCTCATCGCAGAAGTTTGCCAAATCTCTCCAAGGGGACGTCAAATTTAAAATCTCCAACAAGTGCCACTGGCTCAGAAACATTTAGAGTCCAAGCTCCCCAAGTACAGCGCCCATCAGGAATGAAAGAGCCTGTCAATCATTCTCCGACGTATCGACCCACGTCACCAGCAGTTAGTGGTCTCAGACAACCAGCCAAGCGGCCAGTTTCGCCTGCTGGAAGTGGGATCCCTGGACCCAAGACGGGAATCCCAAGACCAGGGAGAACAGGAATTCCTTCGCCTAGGAGGTACTTCAGCAGCAACAACAAATGATTGCTTTGAAATAAAGAGACAATTAATTGGTAGCAAATATTCATTTGTCACATACTTATGTTTTTATGAAACTTGGCAGATGTGTTATGCTGCCAGTCCAACATCTCCAGTCTGTACTGCCGTCTCTTGGTGCAGTTGTCAGTGGTGAAGAACATTTGCTACCAATTAACAGTACCTCACTGATAAACCTATCTCAACAAAAGAATAGTTACTTTTAAGAAACACTTGCATGTATTGAAGTACTGCCTCCTGCTGGAAAAGAAATATATATCTAAATCAAATGCCTAGAATGGATCAGTTTGTCAAAAGGAAATGAAAAGGTGTTTAACCACTTATTGTCATTGATTTGGTATAAGATCATTTTTGACAATAACAAAATTGCATTGCTAATTTTTGCTGGAACTTCTCTATAATACGTTACCTGTGACCTCATTTGACATTTGTGGATACTGAAGGAAAACTGATAGTGTGTAGTTTCCTGATAACAACTTAATAATCTTTAACCACAAACTCCATGTTATCTTCATAAAATATTCAGACATACTTACGCATTGATTAGCTCTTGTTTTTGTAGTTATGAATTCCATATATTACTTAAATTATATAAATTTTAAGTTAATTTTTCTGTACAAATTGTATTTTATACTGTGCCAAGGAAACTCATTCAAACAAAAAAAAAGAAAGAAAGAAAGAAAAGGAAAAGAAAACCTCTGAGGGTGTCCAGACTGGCCTCCATACAACCAGGCTTCAGTCCTGGTTGTTAGTTGGTATCAGGCTGTTGGGTCTAAATTGGACCTGGTGGGAACACAGCATTAATTACTTATCACACAAATACAGTGACTCATTCATTGTGCAGGCAGTCTTACTGGTAGTGGATCTCTTTAAAGAATTGAAAAAATTGTACTATTATTATTATTATTATTATTGTTGTAGATGAGCCCCTTATTGAATCAGTATTTGCATAGTCTCTTAGACTAGACTAGACTAGACTAGATTAAGTCTCTTAGAGTCTGAGAGTAGATTGAGAGGGATGCACTGTCAAATATTAATGGCACTAATGTTTGCTGTTGTACTGTGATCTTCATCTTTTCATATTTCATTTGACTTTATAGACTTTATAGTAGAAAACCCTTCACTAATTGTAATGTAGTTTTGTCTTTGCCTATTACAGTACTGCTTGCAAGTATACTCTCCAATTTATTTTGCTCCTTCCATGGTAAATGTGTTAACAGAGTGTTACTGCATTTATCGACAGTACTGTACATTTTGTTTTGTCTTTTGTTATGTTCTGTAGCTAAGTTTGCATGGTTTTTGTTGCAGGAATAACTATGGCATGACAGCAGCGGGGAGGAGTGGATCTAAAAACAGTATAGATAGTGACGAGAGCTGGAAAGAAGGGTGTTACTAGTTGTTCTGGTACGAGGCAGAGGACAAAGAGGCAGTGGACCTGGTACCCGAGATATGGAAAAAATAGTCGACTTAAGTTCACAGAAAGAAGACTGTTAATGGCAGAGCAAGAGAGATGGGGGGCACAAGGCACAACTAGATCAAAATATTTGTTTATTTATTCATTTATTTTCATCTTTGAGGCTGATGGAAAGATTGTTGAGAATGTTTGAGAAGCAGGCAGTTTCTGAAAACAGATACAATCAACACTGATAGAGTATAGGGGGATTTTTTTTTACAACTAAAATATACTTTATTGAAACTATGAAATGTAAATTCTCACTTCTCCTGACATCTGCCAGCTTCTACATATTTTTCCCACATACTTCCATGTTTGGATACTGCTTTCTTGCAAGCAACCATAGAGCTGATGAACATCACCATGGTCTTGTTGAGTCCAGCTCATATGTTTTGAATGACTGAACCAGAAACTGATTGCTTATACTTGAAGAACGGCATTTTACAGACAAGCTTAAAACCAACCATTTCTTAGTGTTACTGTAGCAGCAATATACTGTAGTTATTCAGTTTTCTAGGAAGTTTTTAGTACATGGTGCATCATGCAGATTGGTAAAAATGTAAATAAGGGACATTCAATGAATGTAGAGAGAAATTTTGATCAAAATTATTTGAATATCTAGGATAAATGAATCGGAATTAGCCTTTGGATCATGGGAAAATTTATAAATGTACTAAATTGAATGTCCCAGACTTCCTATGCTACCAACACAGCTTGACTGTTTCTGTTGTGCTTTTTTGCATCCTTTGTAATCGGTGTCATCTTTCATATTTTGTTTTCACATTTATCAGTACGATTAAAATCCCCCTCTTAGGATGTCGTTGGTGTTTAAGAAACCACCTGGCCTGTCAAGCATCTCCTCCTTGTCTTCATATTTTTTTAATCAGTCAATAATTATATTCCTTTTTTACAAGGGCATAGGAATAGAGAAAGTGCTTCTTGTCTCATATTTCCCTGCCACCCTTCCCAATCTGCCATTGATTTTTTTTTTCTGTGAATGGTGGATTTTAACAGTCAACAGCAATACGAGAGTCACAAAATAACAATAATTTATTTATTGAATTGCTACCTGCGGGCAGTGGTAAGGCAAAATGTATTTGCTTCAGTCGGATTTAATCCTATGAGTATTTGCAGGGTTGTGCACAACTTTGCTAGGGGCTTTTTTTCTCCTCATTACTTATTTGGCTTAAGCTGTACTTCTACTGGACAGGCAATACCAGATATATCAGCAGTTAAATTTAAACAGACTGAATTGAACATGATGATTAGTAATAATAAAAAGAGCTACATGCAATCAATGAAGAGATATGGAGACGAAAGCTTGCGAGTCACATTGATTGTCGTGACCCATTTACAACGTGAAAATTGTTTAGAATGCGACTTCACAGTATACAATACTAGAGCCTGGTAAGTGCTTAGCTGTCTATACATTATGGGAAAAAAACTTGTGATATTTTAAGTTTTGTCATAACAAAGCCAGTCAACACTTTTAAGGGTTTGCATTAAACGACCAGCAATGATAAAAAACTAGGGGTGAAGTATTCACGAGTTATATTACAGGACCCATCAGCACGATGGAGACTTTAGACACTGACAGCTATTGTTTTAAAAAATCATGTATGTAAACCATTAATATCTACACCAAGAAGACATATTATTTTATATACTGTAGTGTATAGATTGTATATCATTGTATATACTAATAATTGTTGATATTATCTGTCTTGTTTTTGAGTTGCTGTGGCCTTTATTTGAAATATTTTCATGTGGATTTCTCGGAATTTATTCTACTAACAATTACAAAAATTACATAATGTGGTTGTTAACCACCTAACAAGCATCCAGATCAAAGTAACATGGATAATCATTGTCATTAGAAATTTTCATTTAGAGTTTGTGGATTTGAGGTCACTGCGTAAAAGTATTTCAGTCATGTTAACATGGTATATCTTTTTGATATGTTTTTAAAATTTTGAATCTTTGAAATTCTGTTTGGTCGCTTTAAGATAATATCACTAAACAATTATTTTACTTTGCTCATTTCCTGTTCATTTGTTTTTAAAATGTTTTGTCTACTTCCAAAAATCAAGGGTTTGTTGTTATGGAAAGTATATAAATGCATTGAATAGTTTTTGTTCAAGAAGTGATTGTCTTATCTCTTGTTAAGCTTAATAACCATGAACCTGGTCCAGCCTTTGTTTGGTATATTTAAAATTGCTTTGGGAAAAATTATTTATCAAGAATCAGGTGATGGAAGATCAGGCTGTTCACAGCTTACTGCAGCTGATAGTGATCCCTCTTTCATATTTATTTCAAGGCAAAATAAATGATCATTAAAAAAATGAATATCGTTGTAGCTGTTGATATTTTTCTGAGAAGTAGGGTAAGGAAAATCACATTTGACAGACTCTGTTTTTGGCTGTAATGTGTTTAAATCGGGCAGAACTTTAAAATGGTTCCTTGAAGTGGCACATAAAGCGAGGGTGGATTCCCGACAATGCAAGTAAACCACTTCTACTAGTTTCTTATATAACTACAATAAAGTCGGCATGCCAAGGCATTAACCAAATTAATCCCTTGTTAAGTAAAATAATAATAAGATAAATAATAATGATATTAATAATGTTTTAAAACTGCGTCTTCAAATTTCAAGTCGGAAATTGACCTATTTATCCGTCCCTCCATTTCATAAAAGCATCTTTTAAGCTCGTTTTTACTGGCAAGCTATTCAAATAGTCGCCCTCTTGTCATAATCCTCTCCATTCCGTCAAATTATTTCAAATGTATTTCAAGGGGGGGCAGGGCGCATTGATTAAAAAAATAACTTCACTCGACACTCGACTCACTAGCCTACAATAGACAATATATAATTTGAACATGGATATCACAGGGAAATTATCTTGGTTTTGTCTTATTCCTGAAACCACCCCTCAGTTTGGGTCCGCGGGGTACACTGCAGGCCGGGACGGATCCAGGATTATTTGGGCCCCGAAATATTTTGGTATTTTAGAGGGTGAACGGTGCCATTTGGTACGTTTTAGAACAATGATTCAGCTAGTGAAAAGTCTACTTTCAAAAGGGGACCATAGGTGAAGGGGGGGGGGGGGAGTCAGGACTCTTTTTACCCAGAGCACAAGAAACGCAAAGAAGGATATGTGACGTCATGAAATTTTAAAGCCTCCCTGTCTCACCCAAGCGCATCGAACGCAATGTGGCCACGTTCGTCAAAATGCCAAGTAGTTGTCGCCAGAATAGTTTAATTCTTATAATGGTTTTTCCAAGAAAAACCACGGAGAATGATTGGTATTTTCTAAGAAAAACCACGGAGAATGAATGGTGTTCTCTGTATGAAAGCCGAAAAGGTTGTTATACCTTGCTGCGCAGTTATGTTATCGATGCGTATCGGAATTCCATTGCTTGGCGGGAAAGGAAGAAAGCCGCGAGGAGGGAGGCGGCTGTTGGAGTTGGCATCCCCCAGGTAACGTTGCATAAAAGACACTCTACTGTTGTTATCAGTTTTAGTAAAATTTCGTTCTATCAATGAAAGTGTTTATCAATATTTTAACTGTTTTTTTCTGTTAGGTCTGTTGTATTTTTATTGAACCCCAACTTTGTCAAAGTTTGTAGGGATGTAGCTTCTTTTGTGAGACCGAATACGCTAAGATTAGCGAGTTGTGTGAACGCAAATGTTATATTATAACTATGTCATGCTGGACTACTTAAACAAAAACAATAACCCTGAATAACCTATATAATAATATGTTTAGGTTCAGCATGGTAAACCAAGGCTCTAAAGTAGCACAGCGCAAGTAGTGGCTTGGGAATTCTGCCTTGACAACATGTCAAAAATCAAGGTTCCGAACAGTAACGTTCCCCTGACTTCAGTGAGTTCAAATCGCCAGCTTCTCTCTGTTGGATCTAAAGATGGTGAATCGGTCATAGAAACACCTCAAAAGAAGGGAAAGGGCCAGAAAGATGGCGATAAAGAAAGTCGGAAGCCGGAGATCCGTTTAATGCATCTCGTAAAGAATGGGGATGTGGAGGCGGTGGAGAGACAACTTATGGTAGGTACATTGCATAACTGCACTTTCGCCTGTGTAGCCAGGAATTTCCAACAAAGAAAATTAGACCCCATTCCCATACCTAGATCGATCTAGCAGAATCGACCCACTTCCAAGGTGTTTCTCGCAAAATTACAATGGGGGAGAGGAAAAGGCATTAGTTACCCACCTCCTTGCTGCAAAGATATATGTTGGAATAGATTACTGCCTTTATTCAGAGCAGATGTTTTTACAACCAAATGCATGGTTCAGTCAACACCCCCCCCCCTGAATCCTCCCCTGCCTAATTTGTAATCCAAATTGGTGTTAGTGCATTGATTAATTGATTAGTAAATAAATGTAAATTAAAAACAGTGAGATTTGGCATGCACAGGCCTGTGCTCTCTGAGTTCTTTTTTTACTAGTTCTGATATACCTTTGCACAAACACATAATCTAAATTTCTTCCAGCAAAATATGTCATTGGACAGCTTTGACATCAACCACAATTTTGTCTCTGGGTTAACTGTCCTGGAGCTGGCGGTCACTCTGGAGGACATTCCAATGGTCAAGACTCTACTGACCTTTCCTGGCATATCTGTTAAACAGGCCCTCCTGCACGCTGTGAGACTCAGTAACCTGGACTTGGTGAAAATATTTTTAAGTCACCAAAGGTGATATTAATATATATTTCTTATCTCAAGTATGAATGGTCAAATAGATTTTTACAATCAGTATTAGTTAAAATAACATTTATAATTATTTTTACCCAAATTTAAATACTTTGTTTGGCAAAAGTATTGGTGACACTTGTGTAACCTATGAACACCTTTTTGAAATTAGTAACTTAATTAAAGTTATGATTTGGTATTTTCCCAAGGCCGGCCTCGCCTGTGATGTTATGATTACAATGGAACACAACAGTCCAGTTATTTTAGTTTTTTTCTAGCAATCCCAATGAAAAATTTATAGAACTTTTAAATTACCTTTAAATTTGTGAAAACTACATGTATGACCAATTTTTTCAAATGGCAGATTGCGCAGATAGGCAATATTAGATTGAACAATTCATTCTCTGAATCTTAAAAATGTGTTATTCTGCTTGTATTTGTTTCAAGTTCTTTTGTCTGTTGCAACTTTTTATAAAATACTTATATTCACAGGTTATTATGATGATAATTTTATTGTGATGAAAACAGACTATTATTATTGTTGTTGTTGTTCTTATTGTTATTGTTGTTATTGTTGTTGTTGTTGTTATTATTATTATTATTACAGTGATGATGACGTGTTTGCCAGTGGCCCCGCCCCTACCAGCCCTACCACCATGCTGAAAACTAAAGCCAGCCTGTACGACAGTATCGAGTATTTCTCTGCAGACATGACACCTCTGATGCTGGCCTGCCATCTGGATGACAAACCTATCATTAACGTACTCATGCTGAAGGGGCACTCCTTGCAGAAACCCTGTATGCCTCGATGTAAGAGACTTCTGTCAATTTATGGGACTGGTCTGTCTTATTTTCTATCTGAACAGTACAGTTTATTACATTGAAAATGATATTTTTTAATATTTTAAAGTTGTAAAAAACTTGTGTTATGTTAAACTTTCTGCTTTTCCTTCTTACAATTTCACTATGGGTCTTTTCCCCGATGAAATTATTGTTCCATGTAGATTGATCAGACTCCTACGTACTCCTATAATCACCAGCATTTCTGTATTCTACTCTTGGCCAAGAGATGACATGTTAATCTTTTAATCTGATTGTATTCAACAAGAGTCCAACATAGAGTTGGATGGATATATGTAGAACAGTATTTTTATTGGGAATATATCCGTTTTCTTTTTCTCATTTTATGTTATTCATGTTACATAAGGTTTTTTTTTTTTTTTTGAGAAATTCTTGCCAGTTGGCAATTATCTGAATTTATTTTAAGGTCCCTTTGACTTTCATCTCTCCACATATTATTTTATTATATTTGATTTAATTATATTTTTATTACAGGTAAATGTGAGAAATGCCTGCAGACAGGGAGTGTGCCATTGGAGGAGTCTCTGGCCCAGCTCAACCTCTACAAAGCCTGGTCCTGCCCTCACAGTCTCATACACATGGGTGATGATCCCATCTTTGAGGCTTTCCACATGAGTCATTTGATGAAGGAGAGGTCTATGGAGGAGCCAGAATTCAAGGTGGGGTATTCACTGGCAGATGCAGGATTTTGCTAAGGGAAGGGAGGGGCCATAGATAAAAATGTTTTCAATGATTTCCTCGGCAAATACAGTACATGGTACATGGTATAACTTTAGTGTAATATGTGAAAGAATTGCTTGATATTGCTTTGTCTCTTGCTATACTGCATTTTAGGAGGGATAGCAGGAAAGTTCTGAGGCAAAATGGGGGATGGGGGGGGGGGTGGTCATGTGGCACCACACACACCCTCACCCCCAGATCCACAAAGGGATTTATAAATTATGTATCAATTATGCTTTTAAAACAACAATCAACTTTTAGAATAAGCGTAATAAGACTCACTCTGATATACATGTATTGCCTGGCCTTTCCTCTTTTAAAAAAGAAAAGTCAGTTTAGTCAAAACAATCAAGCTGTTTGAATAGTACACTAAAACTGGGCATTATATACAGGATGACTACATTGCCTTGTCTGCAAAACTCCGAATGCTGGCTGTAGATTTCCTCGGCGAATGCCGCTCCCATAAAGAGGTTGAATTCCTGCTGCAGAGACAGAAAGGAGCAAAGGAGTACAAGATTAGCAAACCCAAGAAATGGTGTCGTCTCCGACTTGCAATTCACTTGGAGCAAAAAGAGGTAGGATTATTGAGATTGTGAAATGTTTGATTGTAAAATCTGCTCTTAAATTCTGTTCTGATGTCGTTTTTAATTAGTATCAGAGAGGGCACATGTAGATAAATTTCTTGATAATGGCTTTTTTCACAGTTCTATTTCCTATTAAAAATATAGACATATCATGCATATCTTATTAATAAACTATACTAGAAAAGATCAAACTACCATATAAAGGACCTTTGCATTCGCTGGATAGAAAATCCATTATGGCTTCTCCTTGAATCACAAAACTACATGGTCCTCTATTTTAGTTTTATGGTGTCAGATTGCACAAAATACATATTTATATGTAATTTTTAATTATATAAAATTTATTTTCAGTTTGTAGCCCATCCCCACTGCCAGCAGGTGTTGCGTCAAATCTGGATGTCTGGCTTTGAACACTGGAGGCAAGGCTGGCGTCTTAAGATTATGCTCTTATTGCTACACTTGGTCATGTTTCCTGTTTCGCCATTCTTGTTTTTCTGTGTGCCGGGCAAGAAGGTAGGAGAGCAAATTATAGAGCTGTAAATAGTTGATTTGATTGTTTGTTACGAATTAAAGCAACTGCAACTGTTTCAGTTTTAAGAAAGTTTAGTTTTGAATGTAAGAAAAGATATTTGACATCTTTATGCCATTTAAATTTTGTTAGATTAAAAAACATTAATAAAAGTGGATCATACATATATCAGAGTGTATAATAATAATAATGATCATACATATATCAGAGTGTATAATAATAATGATAATTCTTTTATCATTTTAGATAAAAGAATACTGGCGCAGACCAATTTCAAAATGCCTGAATGAGCAGATCTCATATGTCATCTTCATGAGCCTTCTTCTCCTCGATATCATGTACTTTTGTCCTTTTATTGACAAAGACCATCGTCCAGGAAATTTGGTCCAGTGGATCATCGCAATTTGGTCACTTACATCTGTAATCAACTTGTTAAAAGAGGCTGGTCACCAGAGACTTGATTTCAAGAAGTTTTGGATTAATATTTATGATCTTGTGATGTTTTTTCTGATGTTTGCCTCTGTTCTTTGTATGCTGGTTAGATCACTGCTGGCTAAGGAGTGGTTGGAGGAGCAAGATATAAATAATGGGTAAATATTAAAACTAGACTATTTGAAATGCTTTCAGTGCTTATTGTTTTCAGAAAAGATAAAAAGTCCTTTATTTTGATATATGCAATTGTTTATTACATTTTTCTGTGGGCATTCCTATAACACAACAATTAACTTATGATAATGCTTTTCATATCTGAGGATCCAAATGTTGAAGTAAAGAAGATCCATGTATTTCCGAGATAGATAAGGGTGTATTCCCAGAGATTTAGATCGATCCAGGGATTAAGAGTTAGATCGACCTAACTCCCTGGAGGTTCAAGCTAAATTGCAGTCAGCCAAGCGCGCACCATAGTTAATTACCCCCTTACAGCTTTCAGTAGGCGTGACAGACGCTAGTGAGACTCCCCACAGGGATAGATCGATCTAAAATCTATGGAAATGGGGTCTAAGAGGGCATTAACAACAGATGATCCTTGGATCTACTGACCTGCGGTTCAAATATGGTGGACCCTACGTGAAAGCAGAGCTGACTTATCTGCTGATGGTCTCCCCGCCCCCACACGCACTGTCCCTGCAAGAGTCCAGCAATTAGACCTCGGTGCCATAATTTAATCCATTTAATGGTGCATGCGGCAGCAGGGGAGACCATCAGCAGACAAGTAGGCTCTGCTTTCATGTAGGGTCCGCCATATTTGATCCACTGCTCAGTAGGTCCGAGGATCATCTGTTGGTAATGCCCTATCAGCAAGATTTTGTACTGCTTCTCACTACATGATGTCAGAAACCAGTGTATACCATTTTACTGATTATCTTTTTGGCCATTTTTTTTCTAGTGGGGGTGAAGTTGATGCCTCAACCTTACAGATGTTGCAGCATTATTTGGAGTACATTCCCCCTAGGCACCTGTGGCAATGGTACGAGCCATTTCTCTGGATGGAGAGTGGTTACGCCATTGCTATCATCCTGGCATTTGCACGCATTATATATTTATTCTTGCTGACAGTAACTCTAGGTATGTTTTATAGTGTCATCTATCACTAGGGTGGGGCAGAAAACAAATTTTTTAAGAAACAGTTATATAAGTCATCATGTGATTTTAATAGTATTGATTAATATGATTAATGGCACGTTTCTTAAGCAAAATGTCACTATATTGACTTTTGATTTTTGAATTATTAAGAATTAAAATTATGTTTGTAGCTCTGTTGTAGAATTTGCATGTGTATTTTGGGGATGAAGCTTCTTAGGGATATTGGCATATGCTGGTAAAAATTATTCATACTTTGATATTATGCCAATATAGAACCACTCTACAAGATAAAGATCAAGAATGAGAGTTAAAATTCACCCGTTATTGTTTTAAAGGGCTTTGTGTAGGCAAATTTATGGCATTTACAAATTTTTATATTGTTTTTTTTTTTTATTTCAAGGAATAGCCAGCCATAGTGTATCTTATTCAAAGCTTATTTTATTGTAAATTTGTAGACAGAATACTTCTTTAATTTTTTTTGTAGGACCAATGCAACTGGCTCTTGGACGAATGATGGCAGACATCACCAAGTTTCTGTTCCTGTTTTGCATCATGCTGATGGCATTTGCCTTGGGACTGATGAAGATCTATGGTTTCTACAAAGGACACCAGCGCACAGACGAGGACGGGACTACGAGAGAGCAGGAGGAAGGCCTTGTGTCGTAAGTGTTAATTGTACTTAAGATAAGCACTAGGCATTTAAATTTTTTTTCTGAATTAAAAATTGATCTTGTTTTTTTCATGCCATTACTCAAGTTGGGTCAAGTAGGTGAAAAATTACACTCCTTCAGAAAAACAGCCACCCTTTGACATTACTGGCTACCCACAAAAATGCTGCAAAGTCCCAATGTAAATATATATCCCAACTTGGATAATGACATGTGAGTCCAAGACGGGCCTTTGCAACAGAGAGTTGGAGGGGGGGGGGGGGGGGTGCAGTGGGTAAAAAAAAGGGGAAACACCCTGGTCAATGTTTGATCAACTTCAGGACATCATGCTGTTGGTTATTCAGTAAAAAAAATTAATAAAAAGCTTTAGATTTGGAAAATCAAGTAAAAACACTAGAAGATTAATTAATTAATTTATTATTATTATTATTGTAAGTCATTAATTTTTTCAATACATAATAGTATTCATTCATTCATTCATTCATTCATTTATTTATTATTATTATTATTATTATTATTATATTAGAATTGCTTGAATTGTTTCAGTTTACGGAACACCCTGAAGACCCTATTCTGGACCATCTTTGGCATGGTAGAGCTGTCAACAGCTGATGTGGTGGTTGGTGGTGAAAACAGTACTGTCACAGTCAAGCACTATATTACAGAGAGTGCAGGGTTTATTGTGTTTGGGCTGTACCATGTGATTGCAATCATACTGCTTCTTAATATGCTGATTGCTATGTTAAACAGTTCTTACTCGCAAATCGAGGTAAGTACAGTAATGTGTTAAAATCAGAGGTACAATTAACTACCAGATATTCACACAGTGACTTTGATATTTTAAAATATTACAAGGTGTGTTAAGATAACATTTATTTTAAGGGTGTAATATTACACTAGCTTTTTGCAAACATCAAATAACAATCACGCAAGTGATGAAAACATTTGTTCTCTTTTCTTTGAGCTAATTGTTCAAGAGTTAAGTGTTAGTTGTTAAAATATTTGAAAAAGGCTCCAAATTTTCACCCATTTAATGCTTTTAATGTCACCACAAATTAGTTTCTTTGTACTCAGTATTAATTGATATTTTGATAATTCTTGTTTTTAAACCTTTTTTTATGTTTTTTTTTAACAACTCAGAACAATTTGGATCTTGAATGGAAGTTTGCCCGTTCTCGGCTTTGGATGTGTTATTTTGAGAAAGGCACCACCCTCCCTCCTCCATTTAACATCCTCCCAAGCCCAAAGAACATCAAAAACCTATTCCTGTGGATGCAGTACAGATGGTGCTCAGATTCGGATGAGATCAGGCCTCTTTGGAACACAACCGTGAGTGTGTTTTTTTTTTTTTTTTTTTGTCACACCTAACACAATGTCATCAAACTACATGATTGTGCTCTCACTTATTGTCACAAACGCATTGTGATAACCTATATCTGTAAATAGAACTTCAGGTTAAATTACCAATCCAATCTCAAAACTGACACTATTTGAAAGCATGGTATAATGAATACATTTCATGAGAGTTGTACAAATGGATAGGATTTGACAATTTACGGACATTTTGCCCCAAGGTTGACCTTGATCAGATTTGTACTTTAAGCATATATATATATATATATATATATATATATATATATATAATATTTTAACTTCAAGTATGAAATTTAATGATATTCTTTTAATTGCAACCTTATATTTATTTTGCCTTGATGTAACATTGACCAACTATATTACAGCTAATGGCATACTGTATATGGCAGCTAACAGATTGGCAGAGCAGTTCCTATTTTTTCCTAATTTTTTGGAGATGTCCCTATTTTTTCCTACTTTTCAGAGAAAATTCCCATTTTTTCCTATTTTTTGGTCTAGAAACCATTCTATGTGTCAAATCATGTTGGTTATTGGAAAATAAAGTATGTGGATACCTTTGTCATTATTATTGCTTGACACCCTGGAATGGGATTGATATTTTGGTTTGGATGTGTTAAGATGGAACTTAAGGTCAGTTTAAGACTAATCACTAAAACGGTAGCTCTTTTAATTTTCAGAGGTGTTTTTACTTGGAAAAGAAGTCTGAAATTAAGGAAGAAGACAGAAAGACGCAGCTTTATGAGGTAAAGTGCAATATGCACACAGTTTCACAAAAAAACATAAGTCAGTTCCTGGACTTAGTTGACTAGGATTTCCATGAGAGTGCTGTTACACTGCTTCTGATGAGGTAAGATGTGCCCTTGTGACCATGTTACCTTGGTAATTAAGTTCTTAGCCAGGGAACCTGACTTTGACTTAAAAGTTTTTTTGTGAAACTGGGGCCAGAGCACGTGATATGACTATATATCTATATATATTTATATGCAGGACTAGTACTTTTCTTTTTCAGTCAAAAATCTATGTTTACTTCATTCATAATTATTTTATGTTGAATATTCCAGAGATTTGTGAAGCTTCTATACCTCCGTTACTGCAATCGCAGGACACTGCACGCAGAAAGCGAAAACAGTGTAACACAGAGTGACTTCAAGCAACTTCTCCAAATGGTGAAGAACATTAAAAGTTGCAGTTGTGATGGAAAAGAAAAGAGTAATGTGACAAGAATACACAAAGACTTAAATGATAATGTTGCAACCCCGAGTAAGTCCTTTTGGCAACTTGCATGGTCATCGTGAATTTTCATCATTTGCTCAAGATAATTGACCAGTTTTAAGATAATGAAACACAGTGTTTTATCTGTATCATCTGCTTATTGATTTGGCTGGTGAATTTGATTTTACCTACAAAGTTTGATTTATTATTGAAAAGATAAAGAAAACAATGATAAACCAAGCATATTTTAGTTTCCACAGAAACTGAAAAATACTGTCTTTGTTGTTAGTATCTTTAATTTTGAGTTAATTTTCTTAGTTTAATAATTTTTTCAATTAAAATGCTGTCTTTTTTTTTTTTTCAATTTTTTCAAGGATCAAAAAAGAAGATCATTCCACTTCCTGAAGTAAAACTGTATGATGAAGATAACAACCAAGTGGACGAGGTGGCCTGAAACTTCTTACAGATATCATTAACACACGGAACTTAGAGATTACATTGTTACATAAAACAAATTTATTTACAAGATATCTAAACATATTTTTTTTACGATATGTGCAAGAGTAATTTTCATTAAAATGTCCAGCATGGCTCCCAGCATTATATTAGATGGACAAAGTTAAAAAGGTATGGCACCGTTGGATTTCCTTGTTATATGAAACGGGCAGTTCCAATGGTATGTGAAAGATGGAGTTTTTTTTAAGCAAAGGAGATAAACTCCAATGATATATAAAAGATAGGAGTTCAATAAGAAAAGAAAAAGAAAAGAGTAATAAAAAAAAACAAATCCAGTGAAATGTGAAAGACGGAGTTACTATTATGTGAAGGAGACATTCCAGTGCTATGTAAAAGATGAGATTTCAATATTATATGAAGTATACACATTCCACTAGATGAAATATGAATATCAGGAATATGTGAAAGTTCAAACCGTATGAATTCCAATATAGTAAGAATCTTGTTACTTTTATGGTCCCTATTTTGTAGAATACCAGCGTGAGGAAATTGTATTTGTGACACGGAAACTTCTTGAATAAATATAACTTTTTTATTAGGATAGTTTCTAAATAGAACTATATTTTGTGGTCTTCATATAATACATTTTTTACAATAACAAAAATCAATAAAAATATATTATTTTTGTAGGGTTAATGTTATTTATATCATTAGTTTTCAATATAATTCTATTTTTGATACCGTTTTTTCAACTCTGCTATCACGTGCATGCGATGTGAAATTGTTTATACAGTTATATAAAAATTTTGTATACAAAACCATATGATATAGTTGAATAAAGTATTGTTACCAGTGCATGTGTGAAAATTATTACATGACGACGATAACGTTAAAATGGAGAAAATGAAAATTTCCCGAGTTTGAAATCGACCCTCGTCTTTTTTTGTTGTTTAGCTTATTCATATCAAAAGTAAAGCAATCTTAAGACTGCACTGACAGTTGAAATAAAATTAAACACGTCACCCAGGACTGGACCAGATAGCGCCGAAATTGCATCGGCCTTTTTGCCCTTAAAAGAAGTCTGACATTATGTTGTTCCTATAGGTCTCTTTGGTGCTGTCTCAATGGCGAAGACAATACTAAAATTAGAATCGTTATTGGAAGAGTTACAGCAGTTTCAGGTGTCCATTTGTGTGTTCTGGGAACAAATCCTATTTCTAGCCAAAGTGCTAATGGAAAAGCATACTTTAAAGAACTGAATTGAAAACTTTCGAAATGTGAGAATTCATTTCCCACCTGTTGCCGCCTGAGTTTATGAAATACGTGTTATAAAAATTCCATGCTATTCATAGTACTATTTTTATTTCGTATCAATTCCCCTGTGCATTTCTTACAGATTCCACCACGCGACCTGCATACAAAAACTAATATACATTGGGCGGCATCGTAATATATATCTTCTTTTTATGATTGATCTATGCCATCTTAATCAAACCTCTGACTGCTAAGTCCTTTTGTTTATTCCATTACTCTCGAAATAATCAACAACGACTAGGTTCCCATACCTAGATCGATCTACCAGGATTGATCTATCTCCGAGGGGTTTCTCGCTAAATTGCTTTAAGCTTAAACGGCTTAAATGTCTGGAACGCCTACTGAAGCTGCTAAACGATAATTAAATTCCCCCTAGCAGCTTCAGCAGGCGTGGCAGACAACTAATCCGCTGAAGTTGATTGCAATTTAGCGAGAATCCCCTACTCGGAGACAGAGCGATCCACAGTTAGTAGGACAGGGTCTGAGAATGGTCCCGTAAATGCAAGCAACACTGTTCAAAAATAGAAATGAAAATTTACTGCTCAATTTTTGAAACATGTGCCGATAGGAGTTCTACACGCTCTCATACAGTGGTACAATAATCAATATTGTATAAGCACTGGTAGGACGTGCTATGGAAAAAAAATGTGTTACCGGTGAATAACTAGTCCTAGAAATAATATCATCTCAAAAACAGTACTGCTTTACCGTACAGAAACGTTTCTCACAACTGAGATTGGAATCCGGTAATAAATCAATTCCTGGAAGTGGGGGGGGGGGGTTTCATTTAATGCTGTAAATGAATTTTCAGTGTTCTTTGCCTTGTATTGGAATAGGAGTAAAATACTAATCAATTCATACACATGCATTTTAATTTCCAAAAGTGTAAAAGGATGTTATATAATCTTATCTTTCAGTCTCCATACGTTCGATACGATCTAAAAAGAAGACCATTCCTACAGAAAAGAATCGCAAAACTTGCTCCAAATATTTTTAATATATATTTAATAAAGGTCTAAAAAGAGAAAATATAAACATTTAAAAAATAAAAAGAAATCAATCTGTGCCAACATGAAATTGAACCTAAGCGATAATGAGAGAGGAAGCTAGAACTTACTTCGCTTTCCAGACTTAATCTAACGCGAAGTGCAAACGATTCACTGAGATGTGAAAAAAACCCTTGTTAGTCAATGCCACTGTGTCATTGACTTAATGACATTACATGTGTCTTAGAAAGAGACGTGTCATCAAAACAACAGATTTGTTATTCAGAAGCTATTCGATCGATTATTTATATTCAGCGACGGCACGATAATCCTGCTAAGTTAACACAGTACCCAAACGAGTGTGTCTGTGTCGTTGATGAAACGCCGTATGTCATGGATACTTAATTCAATATCTCCCTATTATTTAACTTTTTTCTCCTATGTTGCTGTCTCTGCATAACGCCACGCAATCAACCTGGTCGTACTAAGCTCGTGGTTTTGGATTTAAACAGAAGTGGCCAAGGTCTCTTTCGCATTGCCATTTCCACAAATCGTTTCGAAGCGCAGACTGAGAGATCTGTGGCATTCTCTCTCTCTCTCTCTCTCTCTCTCTCTCTCTCTCTCTCTTTTTTTTTTTTTTTTCTTCTCAAGACAACCTTTGCATTGTAATGACCACAAATTGTCATTTGTTGCTACCTGGCCTATCTCGGCATACGATTTCCTCATATATCGGAGACAAGATATCGATTGTGATTCATTTTCCATAGTTTTTGTTACCATGGCAGTGCAGCAGTTGCAGTAACCGGTGTTCTCAGATGTCGCAGCAGTCGTGCGGAGACGGATATAGAGTGACGTTTGACAGAGAGAGAGATCTACAGGCACAGATTGGTACGGCGCAGAAGATGACGTGTTAGTCGGTTGCTGCCTTCTGCCTAACTGGATGTTAACGGGTAGGTCTCTTTTTGATATTGCTTTAAGTGGTATTTTTGCGCTTATATTCGCAACACATAATTAAGTGCTTGTGTGTATTAGCTAAGATCTCAAAACACAGGGGACGCGTGTTAACGCCCCTTTGGCGTGACAAGAAGAGACAAAACGCAAGGCATAGAATATGGCGACAACATATATTATAACCAATGGGTGTTGTTCAGCTGTGAAGTTAAAAATATATATTTTGTGATGATGTAAAAATTCTTTATTTAAGTCTACTGTGTAAATCCCTGGCACCTTGTATGGCACTACTAAATATAAGGTTTTGTATCGTTATGTGAGATATACAAAACGAACGACGTACAAACCCTTCATAATTTTGAATAATTTACTTAATATGCAAAGTTATCCGATGTATCTTTATGTGAAAACAGAAATGGTATTCTTTGTCTGTACTTAGGTGTTATTCAACGTTTCCATTGAAAAACATTCATATACGTAGGGCTTTTGGCTCATTTCAATGATTACCTTGACGAAGAACTGTCTTTTGGAGTTTTAATTGTCCGGCAGTGGCGTTTTAACTATTTAATGGTGAATATATGGCACTCCAATGATCATTCAATGACACCGAATAAATGTTATATCATTGGAAATAAATAATTGCACAAAACAACAACCAATGCACTTTATTTTTTCTTCTTCTTTCCAAAAGCCTAAAACCAGTGTTATTGAATCGTGTGAAAAAAAAAGAAAAACACAAAAGCAAAGATCGACACCACTGACCAATCAATTTGTCAAAAGTATCGGATATCTACAGGCGCTATTAGGTTTCTTACAATCATGTACATTGGGGATAGATAAATGAAAAATATAAGAGATTATAGAAGTAAATCTCAGCAACGAGGCCTTTAGATGTTATATCCTGCTAAAAAGAATATTGGGTCAATTTTGACCATTTATAAACTAAAGTCAAAATTATCACAAACTTGCAAATTCTGGACAATTTAGCGATGCTAATGGTTATATGTCATCATTTCCTTCAGTTGTTATTGATATAGATTTGATATTAATGTGTCCTAATGCACTTTTTGTTGGCATCAGAACGTTAGTAGCTCTTCAGTGCATTCTCCGAGTCAAAGACCAGGCCTCACTGTCAGGTAAATTTTATTCGCACTTGAATAACCCGAAGAGCACTTGAATGATTTAAGAGCGTTTCGCATTGTAAGAATTACCCACTATCCTCACAGTGGGTAAAATAGTTAAGTGTATTAGTGTAAATTAATAAGCAAAGCATTATATGGCGGGTAAAAAATCAGGTTTTGCAGGTGCTTAGCTTTTGACATACTAAATCAAAATAACCCTGCATTCCTCTAGAGAATCATCTCGTCGAAATTCAAGATGGTTGCCAATTTATGGGGTTTTATATATGTACATATCTCAGATAAGCCTGGACAAAGGAACTTAATTTTATTGCCTTTGGTAATTATATTGCCTACATACGTATTCAATGAATGTGGGGTCAAAAGGGTCAAGTTCAAACTCTACTAATTTGCTAGTATAAATGAATGAATCACAAAGAAAATTAATTTTACTGGTTTTCCTACTTTCATATACATTGTTTTCCATGTGATTATTTTCAATTTATGGCTGACAAACACAGTTTAACAGTAGGAAATGAAAAACGCCAGTGTGGTGATATTTTGTTTGAAAATCGCAAAACATTTATGTTTTTGCGTCCAGTTGGAAAATACATGGTGGTTTAGTCAGATTTCAACAGATTTCCACATGGTGGATTAGTCAGATTTCAGGCAATCCTACCACATGTAGGTTGGTAAGAAGCTGCCCCGCCCCCCCCTCCCTCCCAACACACACACACACACACACACACACACACACACGATTAGAAAAGCAAAAGGGTTTAGCAAGGTTCATAATGAGGAGACAATGTGATGAGCAATCTAATAATAATAGCCCGCTGTTCAAGCAAGATACTATATTGAGCAAGAACATATACTGTGAAACTGTGAAATGTGCATATCTCATGGTATGCCACATGCAGCCCAAGTCTCTTTAAGCTGGTTTATGTAATGCATTCACACGCCAAGTGTGCACAACTAGGCCACTTTCTTTTTTCAATCTTCTGACTTCTGTCTCCGAAGGAAAAAGCTTTAAATATCGCTGCATCAGGTGGTCACTTTATCTTTCTCTTAGTTCTACTTAGTAAAGATGAAACAGACGTGTCTTAGGCATTGTCTTTCACAAAAATATTAAATGATGTATAAAAGATTCCTCGACGGAAAAGATTCCTTTACACCCAAAAGTAGCATGTGATATAAGGATTCTGATTACACGCACACACGAAGGAGTATTGGTCTCCAAATACAAGGCGTCAATTTTAGAGAAGTAGGCCTACTCAAAATCTGAGTTATTTCCAGAACATATACTACTCTGCCGAAGCTTTAACAATAACAATAATTCACGCCACCCACTAGTTTAATGCCCAGAATAGAACATAGGTATTCATAAAAGCACATATTTGTGCATATTCTTGATGATATCAAATGAGGCAGATTAAACTCTTAAACAAGCCAGGGAGGGAAAACAAGCATGACTCCTCGGTAGTTGCGTGATTCAAAGATCAATACTAAAAGCGGACTGTAGTGTGCGCTGGATGTTTATTGTCGTTTCTACAATCATATCAGTTTGCATCAATTTACGATTTCTGTTACGTGTAACAATTTTTTTGCAGATAAAATCAGCCTGTGAACTATCTGTAAAAACGGTCAATCAACTACACTTACACTCTAAGCGAAACTATGGCTTTTGATCTATTACCAACAAAAGCGTTTCATCAGAACCGGTGTAACAGTTATCTCTCCATAAGGCTAAAGCTATCATGTAATATGCATACACGTTAATACTTAACGTACAGAAACGAAGAAATAATATGAGTTTTGAGTATCAACTGCTTGCAAAAACACGTAAAAATATATATGTTCATGCTTATCGCCGTTGGAAACAACTTTCTGCTCTTCCTCGCTGTAATATACAAGTTCACTTGGCCTTCGAAAGTACAGCTGAGACCTATTCATTTGTTACTGTCTCTATTTTTCAGCGTAAACATAAGAACTTTAAATTCAATTTCACTTATGAACGGGCAAAGACTTTAATAAAGTGCCATTGTCTTGATGATGACGACAATGTGTTTTGTAGCATGCCCCATGCACATATGTTTTGCTTATTTCGCACCTTTATAGATATATTGTTGATGTTGTAAATATCAATATTGAGAAGACCGTCGCTGTCTTACACACTGCTTAAATCATGTTAAAAGCCCCAATCCCATATCTATTATAGCTATAGGCTCCTAAACCTACAGGTATATTGATGGAGCTTCATGTAATGGGCGTGCCTTATGGCATAAACGGTACATTTAGTTGATATATAAGCCAAATTGGTCGCGGTAAATCACCAGTTTAATTTCTCAGAAATTCAGTTGAATTCCCAGCCCAACATATTGTTATCAGCGAGTTCTCGATTTGCTTACATTATCTCCGGTCGACTTGGAGGTCAAATAATCACTTAGAAAAATGACGCTGTTCGATAAAACATTGCCAAATGTTTTGCTGAGCAGTAGATATTATTTTGCATATTGAGGCCCAGACTAAAGCAGAGATCTTTCCTTTGCGTCAGGTTCCCATTACAGTTCCTAAAGCATGGAAAGCCAGTAGCCCATGCCACTTCAGGGCCACTAATCAGCTATATCATATGCAGTGGTAATGCTGCTAGTCACGACACATAGCTGAAATCCAATTCATTTCATTTTATCCCATGCTGCTGACAGTAAGATATCATCTCAATGACACCTGGGCCACGTTGTAATATAATACATCCCAATTCTCAGAATACACTCTGATTGATTATTTATCCAGCAAGTTTCAACTACAAAATGAAAGAGTATCACCCGACCACCTGATAGCATTCGAAACCAAGTTATCAAATGTACTCTCACTGATGGGTCTTACAGGTTTTTTTTAGGCTAAAACCCCAAAGTTCACCTGGCTTATGGTTTATCATGTATCTTGCAGTGAAAATTGTCAAGAGTGTAGACCTTTGCGTAAATGAATACCTTAAACCAACATCGTAGTATATGCCATCAGCACAAAATCGGAATCTCGCTTGTATTGGGAACACGATTGGCGACAAAAATCTGCTCAAATGCGCGGTCTTTCGATCATAGGGATGGATTTTTCAAGAAGCACTGGAACATTGCGGTTGTGATGAATTTGTATGATTTCTCCAAAAAGAAATCCATGTTGCAATTTTGCAAGTCATGACCATGTTTCATGGGGAACTTGCAACTTCAGTTTATCCATATCCATTTCGATAAGGCATATTGCCCATTATACAGTATTAACATTGATGTACAACCACGTATTATGATTGGATCAGAATTGATTTGAAATGGGCATTTTTATTTTCCCATACATCAAAGCGCAAAAACTGCACACCTGCTGAGATTTTTTAAATTCTGATCTCAAATAAACACGAATCGTTTTATAAATTAATGTATCTGAGCGATTGCTCTAATACCAAAAATGCTTAGTTAATATGCATACCAAATACCATTACCATACGTAAAGCAAGATTTTCAATTAGTAAATGCCATTGAAATTACAATTACACAAACTGTGATTCTCGACACGAGTCAGGACAGTAGCAATGTTCACAAATTCTATTTTGAGATGTCCATCTTTATGTAAATGCAATAACGTCGATTTGAAATCTACTTCGTTATCTTGTTGCCTCTTGCACTGCCAATTTAAGAGCTTCAGCAGAAGGCAAACACAAGGCAAACAGAAGGTCACGTAAGACGTTTAAATACAGTTTCGATCATAAGCATGCCTGCATTCAACTGCATTTCGTTGCAGCTTGAACATAAATTCATACTTACACAACAACGATGCAGTTGAAGCCATACTAATGAGTAGAACTGTACATGCTTATGGCGTCATTGGAT